GTTAAAGAACATGGATAAAGCATGATTTACAAATGATCRAACAAATAGTAATCAGAGACCCCAAATCTCTTTTGTGTTTTAAGGTTTCAGAATAAGAGTTTGAACCTGAAATATTTCATTTAATTGTTTGAACATTTTTCTGAATGTGCAAAGTGAATCCATAGGCAGGTGTTATAGAAGTTAAATTTGCACTTTCTCTAAACTATATTTTACATATTATATGCTTTTTTGTTTTTTAATAACCCCAGTTTCTGTCACACTGGGGCGTAGGAAGAAGCAAAATGATCATCATTCCTTTTTCAAGGAACTGTGAATATATTTTGGAAAATGAGATATAATTTTAGAAACTTTCTACATGAGAAGAAATAATTTCAGCAGACAAATTAGTATTGACAAAGTACAATAAACCTACAGAAAAATCTTCCAGCTGTTTTTTAACATATTAATGGATGGTCAATAAAGTAAATGTTAACCAAACCAGCAAAATTATCACTGATGTGTCAGAGTTCAAAATGCTTGTTTATATCAATTTGATACATATTGTTCTAGAATACATGTTTTTAAAGTCCACATGGTTTGCAGTATGTGTATATGTGTGTATATCTATATACATTTACACATATGCATATATATATATGTCCACATATATAATTTTTTAACAGTGCAGTAACTACAAAAGCAATAATTGCTTATGGCCTAAGAGCACTTGATAACATTTTTAAGGAAAAAAGAATCTTCCTGGACAGTTTTTTCCTTGGCAATTTATTTCTAGAACAAAGAATCCCTTGGGCTGATAAAGTGAACTCTGTTTTTTAAAAGTCATCATTAAGAAGAAAYACTTTTATTCAATATTTTTTAAAAGTATATTTAATGTAGTCATATTTTTTTTCTTTCAGCATTCCTTTAAGTACTTAAAAACCCAAACAAGAATTGCTGCAAAAGKCTTAACATTCTGCACCCACAAATTTATTGAGTTTATGTGTGCACATCCTGAAATTAGGAAAAGGTTTGCTTCTTGAAACATTAAAAGAAAATGTTTTTGCTATAGAATTCCACCTTTTGATTAATGCAAAGCAAGAGCTTTTTTCTTTTGCAGTTAGTGCTCTGCAGATCTTTTATAAAAACACAAACGGCCAGACTAGGTGAAACTCATTAACTGAAGAGGAGGATAAGTGTCTTCACAACCAAGAGAGAGAACTGGCACAGGGTCTGAGTGGAACAAAGCCCCCTTGAAGTTTAACAGAGGCCACAGCAAACCTCAGTTTCAGAAACGCTAACTCTGAAAATCTGACATTTTCCTACAGTTTTTCTGGTCTAACACATCTTTTCCAGTAGAGGCACAGAAATCAAAACCCAGAATCAAAGTTGCGGAGAGGAATGGCAGGGATTGCAGGTACTTTTCTGTAATCTGCATTGGGATGTAAATTGAAGTGTTGTGTATGAGAGTGTGTGCAATTTTGAAGGACATAAGAAGGGTGTTTTGTATATGGAAGGGAGAGAGTGTAACCCAGTTGTCTTCTATTTAAGGCTTTGCTTAGAACCACAACCTAAAGGTCAGAACAAGTAGTCAATCAGACTTCTATCAACACAGATGTGTTCAAACTCCATTCTGCTAGTGACTGTTTACTTTTAACTTAAAGCAAATCAGAGATTCAATCCTGTTCACTAAATGCAAACACCTTCCATAGACTCATTTTAACTACATGGAATAGTGATGATTTAGGAAGACTTTTAAAATAAATTCAAGAACCATAATTATATAAAGAAGTACAAAACAAATTTTAGATATGAATTTGTGCATAGTAGGAAAGAATGAATTATGTGGTAGTAATATAAATTTCAAATGCAGTTCAGAGGATGGATGATATTACCCAGCTGTTGAACACCACTAAAGTATGTTCCACTAAAGTATGTTAATCATTTGAGTCCAGTTTTTTGAAACGCTGTTTTTATCTACCCCCAAGTCTAGGGAGACAGAGAACCAGGATACATTCTATAAAACATAAATAAGTAACCTTTTTCTGCTAGTGAGAATTATCATCTGGGGATATTTCAAAGATGCCCAGACTGGGAACTACTCCCACACATTTCGTTAGGAATTCGTTCTCCAGCAAGTATTGAAATTGCTCTATGATTTCAAGATCATTTATATAATTTTTAAGTTTAGCGATAACAAGTTTGTGGAAGAGGCTTTTTGTTTTCTTTTTGTTTTAGAACATTTTACCTGAAATCGAATGAAATGCCCTTAAAAAAAAAAAAAAAAGAAAATCTGTTAACCTTTAATTTCAGTAATTGTCTAGGTGATGTCTAATAAATTTTTAACCACTATGTTTGCCTAATTTTAAGTTGTAAAAACTAAATTGCAGCAGTGAACATCTCTAGTTCTATTTCACCCACACATATTAAATCGTGTTCTCTCTTGATCCTCCTTCTATAAATACAGAATAGTGAAACAAGTCAGAGTGTTCCATTTAACTGTGAGTGGAGGCAACATACACCGACAAGTACATCCACAATGGGCCTTTTGTTATTTCATTCGTTGGCTAACCTTTTTTTTCCCAGGTTAGAAATAAAGCAGATGATCACCAGGAAGAGTCTGATGGGATCTCAGTTCCCTGATCCTTTTAGGGTGGGCAGGAGGTTTGGGACGGAGCCAGACAGCACTCTGCAGGCTGGAAATGGGGAATTTATTTCAAGGATGTCTGTATTTTAGATTTCTAAGCAAGTTAAGTTTGATTACTTTTAGACTTCGAATTTAAAATGGTAGCCTCGCGGAGGGGGCGGGGGCAGGAACATTTCTGATATTCTCTTACAGGTTCAGCGATTGCATTTATACAGGGACGGGAGATAATGAAGCTGGGCAGGTTGAGGAGCCCGGCGCCGCATTCCGGGAGCAAAGGGAAAATGCTATAATGCTACCCTGAGGGTCGGAGGTCTGAGCTTTCCCGCACCCACCCTGTTCCACGCAACCAGCTTGCAGCGCTGCAAGGCGGCGGGGCAAAAGACTAGGTCGCCGGGACTCGTAAGCCCGGCAAGGAATGCGGGCACGCGCCCCACGTGCAGCGGTGCCTCGGCGCTTTCCGACATAGGCGGGAGTGGAACYGGGCCAGCTACCCTGAACAAGGACTCTAAGGACCACCCCATCTCTGGCTGTGAAGTWGCAGCGTCTTCGTACCCTTAAGCTCAGCCCAGGTGCACCGGACCTCCATCCAAGGCGCCTAGGGAAACACTAGGGCGAGAACCCCACAGCCATCTCRGCTAGTTCCTGACGTCCTGCGTCACCTGTGAAAATTAGCCTATGGGTTATTATACCCAATTTGCCTCTGTAACGCTAAATGGCAATCTAATATCAGTTTGTAGATGGCTGTGCACTTTAACATATATTACCCCATTTGATCTTTAAAAGGAAGACAGCTGCTCATTAGGGGCCCTTAGTGCCACAATAGTTAAGCTGTTTGCAGGTTCTAAGATTTTAAAACTTGTTAATGGGGTGGGGGGGGTGCCCTATTTAAAAATATAATGGAGTAYAACTACTTAAAATTGGCCCTTTGACTTAGACATTAGAATTTTGAGGAGACATTTATAGCTGTAACTATTCCACTTAAAAACTGTACAAAGCATTTTATTTGAAATAACTGTAAAAGTCCAAGGTGGGGACAAGACAGAAGAGATAAGAAAAAGGGAGAGAAGGAAGCCAGGGTGAAACAATGGAAGGTTCCACTAGCAGACCCAGCACACCCATTTCTGCAGAGGGAACCTTAGCATCATCACTAGTCCATCAAGCCTCYTGCTTGGGCTTAAACATTCAGTCAAAAGCTGAATTATATAAGACAGTCTCATGAAGGATTAAGACACTTAGGTGGCAACTGTGCAATATGCAATACTTCATTTAGATGGCTACACATTTTTAATGCATATTATCACTTTAATGTAGAATTTGGATATTTAATAGACAGCATTATCACTTTAAAGTAGAATGAGGGTAAATCATAATGTTTATGTTGGCAATTCTTAATGCACTTAATAAAAGGATCCTGCTTTATTCACCCATCACTAGCAATGAACTCAATTGTTTCAAAATAACTTCCTATTCAAGGTTAAAATGAAAACAATTTTTTCACATTAAACTAAGATTAAAAAGGGTGCTTTGGTTGAGTATTAAAGCAAAAACTTCMTAAGAAACTTAGGTGGCACCTTTGCATTATGCAATACTTCATTTAGATGGCTACACATTTTGAATGTTTGGAAGATTTTTTTTTTCTGGTAGAGTTTTATTTTATTTTTTTAATCTTTATTTATTTATTTATTGTTGGTTGTTCAAAACATTACATAGTTCTTGATATATCATATTTCACACTTTGATTCAAGTGGGTTATGAACTCCCATTTTTAATAGATGGCATTTCAAAATGAAATCTTATAAGCTTTGGCTAGGATGGAAAAAATTGAGACAAAGCAACCAGAGTCTACATGAGTCATGTGTAAGTTTGTTTTGTTAATCAAATAACAATGCATGGAAAAATACTGTGGGTGAGCTCCAAACATACATTTAAGAATTAATGTGCTTAGTAGTAAGAAAAATAAAGGATACAAATTGAAATCTGTGCTTAGTAGTAAGGAAAATAAATGATACAAATTGAAATCTGAAAAATAACATACAGTTAGTTACTTTACTACAGACTATTTAGCTATGAATTAAAATTTTCAACTTTTATTCTCAAAGATTCAGAACAARTCCTTAAAACTGGAACACAAGTCTAGGCGAAACTTATAAAAACGTAAATAATTTATTTTTACAAAGACTACCAGTAATGGACATACTATAAAATAAAAACTTTTGTTGGATTGTGTTAACCATATCCTCTTAATATCTGCTTCGTCACTGACTTGTTTCTGACATCTAATTGTAGAAATGAACTCTTTTGTGCAAAAGTTGACTTATGAAAAACATGCTTTGTCAAGATTTTCAAAGCTGAAATCCTATAAAAAAACAGGAGGCCAGAGTTTTTAAAGTTTAACTTTATTTTATTTTTTTACTAAAGTCCAGAAATTTCTGTAAGACAAGTACGTTAATGAAATGTTTCCAAAGAAATACTGAACAATATACACTCTAGTTTGCTGAGGGTTCCAGCTCAAGAGTTCACACCTAATTCTTGTGCATTAAAAATCAGCATGGATCTTAGATGATCTAGAATAAGAATACACTGTGTTTTGAAATCCACAGCTGGTTTGAYTTTTAACCATAATGAAAAACCAGTACTCCTAATTCCATCAAATGTGTTTTACAAGCAATAATAAATTCAGATCCACTGTATTATGCAACAACACATCTTTGGAAAGCAACATAAAACAGTGAGATCAGATCAGTAAAAATATACAGTTAAAAGAAATACACAAAGTACTGTAGTTTTATTAAAAACTACTACTTGAGAAAAGAAATCTCCTTTCCACAAATAGCATAAAACTGTAGAATGATGAAAGGATTTGGGAAAGCTTTACAAAAGCTTAATTCCAGCTGTATCTTCCTGAGGGTGGTGGCAAAGGGTATTTCCTTCCTTCTCTGGGATATCCCTGAAAATAAACAAAGAGAGAATTTATTTTCTGGATTAATTCCCTTGCAAAGAAATCAATTTTACGCCCGTGTGGAAAAACACAACATAAAAAAGCTAAGTGTGTCTTAAGGTACAGCACATGGAAAGTCCCCATAAACAGGTACTTTGAATCCAGAGCTTTAACACAAGCTTGTTGCAAACTTGGAGACTGGAGCACAAAGGATATCACTGAAAACTAACCAAATACGCCTCAACAACCACACTTAAGAAATTCCTCAAAGTATATACAATGAATTATAGTAAAATGTTAGGGTAAATATGTTCTCATTTTCCCACCATCTCGAGTAGTAATTCAAGTCACTTTGTAGTAAGGAGCCCCCATCATTTTTAGACATATATACACTAAGAAAGTCATTTTATATAATCAAGGAAAAGAGCCTGCTGAGTCAGCTTAAGGCCTAATAAGCAATTAATTTTAGGGATTTTTTTTTGTTTGGTTATAAATAGTAGAGCATTAAGTAACAAATTAAAGTATTACATAATCAATTAGTGGTAACATAATATAATCTAGTATGCTTGCAAGTAACATTTCTGTATAATAAAAGATAAATTCCATCATAATTCCTTTTCTAAGGGCTGGAAGTGTTGCTCAGTAGAGGAATGCTTGTCTAGCATGGGTAAAGTCCTGTGTTTGATCCCCAGCACTGGCCGGGTGTGGGGGCGGGGGGAGGGAGAATTCCCTTTCTAGGCTTCCGGTTATAAAACTGAACACCCTCCATTTTGCCACTCAGAGCACTTTAGTAAACTTAAACTATAGTATATGCAGACCCTGACGGCCATAGTGTAAGGCCTTTTCAGTCATAAACTTCACTAAAAAGATAATAATGACATGACTATATAATAGGGATTTCTGCAACTTAATAGCACTTTGACAATTGTGATTTGATAAAAAACTATCTCAGTGGAAACAAGACTGAGAAAAAAAATGAAACACAAATTTACCAATTGGTTTATATCTTCTAAATAAATAAGAATAACCTCCTCTAACAGCAGAGAGTACCCTAAAAGGGAYGAGATCTCCTCTATAGGAAGTAGGAAGATGATGAACTAGAGTCAGCAAGCCACGGCAGTTCTGCTGCCATACTGTATGGGGTTCCAGGATTTCAGTTCCTGACTTGGAAAATGAGGTGACTGGACTAAACATTCTCTAAGGCTTCTTCCAGTTATATCCTCATTTTAAAATGCTTATTATTTTAATTGCATAATGACATTTAGACTCTAGTAGCACAATCTCTATTTAAAGGTTTTGAGTTGAAAGAATTCAAAGTCAAATGAACTGATTTTACTGAACTATAACAAATTCTCCAAATGCATTAAATATTTGCAATTAAGGTGATTATTTTCTCAAAAGATGGAGACTTGTAAGAATACACAAAAAAATATAAAAAAAGATTTCCTTAGCTATCAGAAACGAGATCTTATATGAAAAGAGACACATAGCAAAAACCTGAGTTAGAAAATTAACATGTGAAGCACTGCAAAAGTCCTGCAGGCAACACCAGGTAAGCAATTTAAAAACCACTTCATATCACTGCAGGTGCCAAACTCCACGAACACCACAGCATTCCAATCCTGTTCTCTAACAAGAATTTTATTAAAGAACATGTAAATACTGGCCAGGATATCAAATTGCTGAGAGAAATTATGTTAAACAGAACTCTATCTTAAATGATACTAAAACTAGATGCTATCAAGAGAAGAAAATGAAGCTTACATCTACTAAACTTGTTTATGAATGTGGAAAATCTTCAAGATTTTTTTTCCACATAGAAGGATATCAATGATGAATCAAGAAAGGAGATTTCCAAGAAGAATAAAGTCAACACTGAATAGACAGATTCTTACTTTCAACTTCCAAAAAMTTCTCATTTGTTAAGAAAATTTGAGTTTCTATTAAAAAACAGTATCTTAAAGGAAAAACAATGTTTTGGTGACTGAGTGTATTTGTGCTTTATCAACTATTATTAAAAGGGCTTCCGGGCTGGTAATTCTTAAGTACCTTTCAAGGCATTACCAAGTTAGTGAGGCGGCTATTTACCTTAGGTACTTTTTTTTTTTTTAAAGAAGATGGGTAAATTACTCATTCATTTATTCATTCATTTATTGTGGTGCTGGAGATCGAACCTAGGGCCTTGTTCATGCAAGGTAAGCTCTCTACCAACTGAGCTATATCTCCAGCCCCTACCTTAGGTACATTTTTAATGAAGGACACAAGTTTGGCAAACCTACTCTGCTAATATTGTTTCCAGAAATACTGAAAAGTACAGAGTCCTCAAAGGCATGATTAAATAAAAAGTGAGCAGTAAACTTTCCACCCAGTCCACAGGAAGTATTACCTGTCTTCCTCCACGATCATCTCGTCTAGGTGGATACCCACCAGGCCCGGCTAACATCTGGTACTGGTTTGGCTGGAAGGCTGCATTTTGGGTTTGGAGCATCCGGTTCCACGGCAGTAAAGGTTCAGCTCCAGCACCTCTGTGGAAAGGTACCATGTCTGCATTAGAAGTCAAGCCTCTTACACTATACAAAGCCTAAAAAGATATCATTTAGGACAATCCAATCTGTCTGGATTTGTCACATGCAATACAGAGTGTAAGAATGGCCCTTATTTATATCCAGTACAGTCTAATATATTTCAGCAGCTATTTAACAAAATCTTTAAATTCAGTCAGGTCTAACTTTAAAAAAGTAAATTTGTTCATTTCCAATTGTAAAATTTCCTTCTAGTCATTTAAAGATATAGATCCAAGATCACCAAGTTGGTTGCATTTATGAAGCTATCCAAAGAGTAGACATGTACAAGACAGGAGAATGAGGCTTTATTTTTTTTAAATGTCCAGACTTGTTCTTGGAATCCATTCTTTCTAGTTAATTGCAGGTTGCAAATGAATTCTTACTGCTGAGTATTTTGAATCCAGGGTAGGGGACTTGGCTGTTTTTTCCCATCCATTATTCTGCTCAATATGTCAGAAGGTCTGATCGGGAGGAAACCTTTTCAAGTTCTATTGATGCAGCTTTCAATTGACCACGGTGACCTAGCAACATGAGCACTAATTGGCATGGGCTGACTGGCATTTGGTGTACAGTTTACATGGGAACACAGATTCAACAGCTATTATAACCCAGTTTGCCGTCCCAGATTACTAGTCGAAAGAAATGTTTTAATTGTCTTCAAGTGCCTATTTTAACTTTGCAGATACAAAACAACAGGTATAAGGTATTAAATCATAACTTCATTAAAAGCTGTCCCATAAATGATGTAGCATACATACACCTTCTAAAGGCAATTGCCATTTAAGATATAAAACTTTCTCCTTGAATAACTTTCAACTTTTTATAAGTCACTACACAAAGAATAAACAAAAGGAAAATTCTCTAGTATATTTAAATTAGAAGCTTTGGGGCATTAAGGATATTAAGGAAGAATTAACTTTTACATTCACTTAAATACTGACTAGTTGGTATTAATTGTTACCATACTGGCATATAAATTTCCCTTTTTTAGGGGGAAAAAATGCTCCTAGGGATATAAAGCCCAAAGTTGAGCTCACTGGGTAATATATTCTCATAGCCATTCAAGCCTGACTCCAGCCTCTCTACATTCTACCTTTCTCCCTTCACTTAGAGCTTACCTTCTTTAAAACAAACAAACAAACAAACCCAAAGATAATTATTTTTGTGTGATCACTTAAACAGAATAACAGCTCTCTAAAGAAGGCCAAATCTATTCTTTACAGTTAAGTGTTAGAAACTAGAGCTCCATTAAGATAACTTGCTGTGATTCAAAATAAAATTAAAAGTCTACAACTCAGAAAGAAATGCATATGTTTGGAGCTTATAATTATTTTTAGGTCCATTATTAGAAAGAATAAATTCTAGCAAGATATTTAATCTGTTTCAGCAAGAACAGCTCCATATGCAGAGATAGGAATGGTCTCTTCTGGTCTTCCCAGAGGTGAGGGGCTCAGAACTGCACTGTGACCAAGGCGGGTCATCAATCTTGGCCATTTGTGCAAAACCCACAAGCCAAAAATGCAAATCACATATCGTTTTTACTGTGACCAGTTTTTCTTTTTAGTTTTACAATGATAAAATTCACATGAAACTATGTCAGGAAAATTGGCTGGCATGGATAATATATATCATAAATGCAATTTTAAAATATTTTGTTTGAAAAGTAGGTTAGGAACAAAGCCAGATTAAAAACACACAATTCTCCTTTTCATTTGAAATTATTACTAACAGTATTTGACAGATATTTATGATAAAAATCATTAATTAAAAGTAAAAAGAAAGTGTATGTATGAAGACACAGATGGTGTGACTCTAGTTTTTGTACAGCCAGAGACCTGAAAACTTGTGCACTATGTGTGTACTATGAATTGAAATGTATTCTTCTGTCATATATAACAAATTAGAATAAATAAATAAAAATTTTTAAAAAGCTAAAAAAAAAAAAAAAAAAAAAAAAGTAAAAAGAATAAAGTAACAGTGACATCCACTACCTTCTTTTGCTGTTTACTGCAAGAGAGGCCTTTGTTTTTCACAAGACAATCATATTTCTATAATTATCATATAAATTTGCATATACAAATTAAAATTGGCCTAGGAAAATATATCTTTAAGATCTGAGATAGGAGCACTGAAATTGGCACATCTTAACTTTTCAAAATTAGCTGGTATAAAACTAGCTTATCTGAGACATTTTTGGCATCACAGCAGAAACACTATTCTTAAGTTTCCAAATTACTGCTTTGAAAAGTAAATGGCATATGAAGTCTACCAATTTGAGTAATTTTAATTTAGACATACAGCAAATTAGAGTTTTTAAAGATTTCCCATGACTATCTGAGCTTAACACCCGTAGGTTAAAAACTAAATGCCTGCTTTGCATAGGAMGAGAAAAGACAAGCCTCCTCTAGCAATAAGAACCCAGACAATGTGGCAGAACTCAAGTGGCAAAGGGAACTCAAATGCCAGACATTTTTGCTTAATATGAATACTAGCTTGTCTTTGTGTGGGGAGAGGGGGTGGGGGACGGGGATGTTCCTATTGTATTTCTGAATCAAATGAATATATGTATTATAAATGACAATATCTAACTAGGAAATAATTCAAAGACAACACAGTGTAGTTCAGGGAAAAAAAAAAAAAAAAAAACACCCCAAACTCCCTTTTCTAAGGATTCTCAACAAACCCTCAAAATAGTACAGTGGAAATGTACCAAATTAAGGACCTTATGTAAAACCTGGATCTTATAACTCYAGTTGTTATAAATTGGCAAAATCAAAACAGTTTCTCCTCTCTAAGTCTTAAAAGGTCTGAATGGTTGGACTGACAAGTACTATGAAATGATGTAATAACACCTACTAATCAGCTAATGGAAAACCTAGCATATCAGAATTCAAACTTAGTTTTCTTTATAAATAAAGACCTAAATAAATAAAGTCTTAAATGACCGGATTTAAGACTTATAAAATACAATTCTTTTTAACTTTTAAGTTAACTCACATTTAACTTTTGCTTGTATCTATCTAAAATGGAAGCACGAAACACCCTTTAAAACTTGCCCTTAATTTGCTGATTTCACAAAGTCAGTCAGGATAATACCAGTACTTGGTTAGGGTAGAATAAAAACATCAGGGCAAGGAAAAGGACGATGATGATGATCTTAGGAAAACTTGTCATTTGTAAAGAGGAAGGAAAGCTGCTAGGACTGAAGAATGCCCCAGTAGAAGTAGATTCTTCACTTCCTTTGAAGTCACTGTGGCCTTTATATTATGCTCAGAGTAAATATTCTTAGGAGTTTTGTTTTAGTGAATGTTTCCTAGTAAAGAATGATAATGGAAAAGTGACCTAAGGTAAGCTACTAAACTATGTGCCTCAGTTTCTTCATTAGTAAAAATAATAGCAAAAAGATTAGAGGTAGGAATATATAAGATCATGTTTTTCACAGGATGCTAAAATGGTGCTGACAGTTCATGAGCAGATAATAAATAGTAGCAATTATTATTAACATGGGGAAGAAGTGAGCAATAAAATGGGAAAACTAAGTATATAATTTAGAAAAATTTACCCCATATTTGTATAAAAATGTTGTTACTTTTTGATAAGGAAATAGTATCACATAATGTTGTGTTTGAGCACTTATACTAAAAATAAAACATAAGTATACATACTTCCAGTTGTATTAAATTTAAGATGTGACTTGCACTAAGTAGTTGGTATTACTAATAATCAAATGGATAACACACTTTTTATCTTCTTGAAGAAAACAATAAAATGAAAATTTGAAGTCTAATTATAGTTTTCTTAAAAGCAGCATTTATAAAAACACTACTCACTTCAGATGTGAACAGATTAGAGATTGCTAAAACACCAAAGGAGAGGGGAATAAAACAGATTGGAACCGAAAATGCAAAAAAGGAAGCCTTACTATGATGGGGCTCCATCTGTTTTTGCATTTACTGTTGGCAAAACTAGCATGAACCATAGATTTTAAAGCTGCCTTTAAAAAATCATTCTACATGTTAATATAATTATTCATAACATGCCTAGATGCCTTGTTGTTTAGAGTCCACCTTACTTAGGAGCACACAACTTATCAATGAGGGAACACATGTCAAACATCCCTTGTTATTAAACCATGTCACATTCTTCCTAGTCCATGGCACTTATTAGACTGCAGATCCCATAATCCTCTTCTGAGTCCCTTCTGCGTTTAATTCAGTTCAGTCTTAAGTAGTTAAAGAAACTGTTTTCAGTGGCAACTAATAACTACTGACCTACAGTGACACTGCCCTACAATAGGCTTGTCAGCCCTGAAAAAGTTTTACCAAAGAAGCTGATTAGGACTTCAAGAGGTTTGTAGCAAGGATCAATGGTTGGTCTGTACTAACGCTGTGTTGCCCACACAGAAATGATAAAAGTGGAACACCATTAGTTATGCCTCATTAAGTTGCACAACCCTTCTAAAAAGAAATTTGTTTAGCCTGACCAAAACCTAATACAGTTTTAAGCTGTGTTGCATTTTTCAGGGCATCTCAAAAAACTTCAATAAGATAAAGGCCAAGAACCCAAGTATATAAAGTTGAGTATTTTAATTCCAAGTATTAACTATATACAAGAAAAATTATTTTTGGTAGGAAAAAGTATATTTGAACTATGGAAATTTTAGATTCCAAAAAGCCAATAAACCCCAAATGTTGATGTGGAAAAATACTTAAAAGTCATGTTTGCTTTAATATTACCTGTCAAATCTTTGCTGTTGGAAAAGAGGAGGAGGACCTCGCCAGGAATCCTGGGGCCTCATATCTGGAAAATAGCAAGGAAGAGTAAAACAAAAAAATTTTTAAGTAATCATTTTTCAGTTACCCACATATTTTATAATTAAAAAATCTGAAAACATAAACCAAGTAAATTAGTATCATAATTATACACACAAGTATAAAAAGTAACCAACAGGATCAATTGATATATTTATTTGCTTTATCATTTGTCCTCTGTATGTATAAACAATATTTTTAACACTTATATTTTAAATGCTGTACAAAAGGAAAAGTCTTATAGTCTTTTTCATAAATGCAGACTGAACAAACAGTAATTTTAAAACAAATACTGAAATTTTCCTCCTAAAATGTCAACGGCTATGACAAAAAAGCACAGAGCACAATCTCTCCAACACAAACCAGGAAGACATGACAATGAAGGACCACCCACTTTTCTCTCGTTTTTGACAGTCAAACCTCTCCCCTCCAAAAAAACTGAACTAGCAACATCTAACTATAAGATACAAATAGATGGCTGCTGCTCTTCTATATAAACTGAACATGCTCTTCTATAGAAACTGAACATTATATGGGAGGAAAAGCCCACCAACACCCGGTCAGTCAGGGCATTCAGCAGTTCAGGGGGCCGGCTATCAACCAACCACAGCTCCTGGCTCCAGCCTTTAGCAGGGTTTGCTGTGACCTAATTAAAACAGCTGGTTCCAGAAGTTGTCTAATGAGTTCACTGTGTGAGGACAGTAACCTACTCCAGAGTCCCGAGACCAAGGACAACAAGGCTTACTATAATGTATTCAGGCTCACATTTTAATGGAAACACAAACTAGAAACATGCTTTTCAAAATTACTGTCTTAAAGGAGGGAAGATATGAAAGCTTATCTCTAGTTAAGACCCAAAAATGCAATCTGATTTTTGGTGGAAAAGAAAAAGGGATGAGGGGGGAGAAAAGTAGAACTGTGTTTTTAAAAACACCACAAAGAAGAATATGGAAATAAGTAAATTATTTATTATTCATAATCATGACATAACTGGCTACCTCTGCTCTGGACTTTCTTCCCCTCTTGACATGACTGAGATGGCTAGACTGGGAGGGTTTTCTAAATGTGGACATGCTACCTGAAAGGGACTGGCTATCTGTAGCCCACTGCCCTCTTGGTCCATGACCAGCAGAGGTTTCCAGCAGGAAAACTAGAAGCAACTCTTTCAGAAAAGAAGGGGAAAACCAGCMGTTGCTTCAGGAATCCCATTTTTGAATAGGAAAAAAGGTGGTATGTCTAGTTGATATGAATTAAAATCTTTTTTTTTTTWAAATAACCTCTTAAAAGCCAAAGACTACAAGTTAAACTGAGTAACAAAACTGAGGAGATTTTATGGTGGTCATCAGATAGGTAGTGCTTATTCAAAATTRGAATGGAAGTTCGGGAAGCTAATCACCACGAAATCCACAGAAAATGGGAGAAGACAGTTCCTTACTCTTAAGAAGGCCCAGAAAGAATTACTACTACAGACTCAAAGCCACCAGAAAATCCAGACATTCTTAAAAAAAACAGCAATCATTTCAATTATGTACTTTCTTTCTATGGGAAATTTTAAGATTGGTTTACTCAGCATATTGTAAAACTTTCAATGAGTTATCATTTATGAGAAAGCAACCTGCAGAAAGTAAATCAACATTTGTGCCACTTTCTCTGAATATTATTTTGTTAAACTTGAAACCCACTGGTCTATTCATGTGGAGTATGAAAATTAGAATCAGTTCAAATGTTCCTAATATTATTTTAGTGCCTTTACATAAACAAACTTAGCTAATATAAAAGAAGTAAAAAGAAATATAGTGAATTGCATTTGGACCTCTATCTAAATTGTGCTTCACATGCACAGAATTGCTGTGATCACCCGGTAACACACTTTTCATTAAAACAATTCTGTGATTCCGGTTCCAGGGTATCTCTTTATGTATTCCATGACATAATCATGGAATACATTCTCTGTGGTACTTTAAAAAAAGCTTCCATACTAGATTCTTAATAAATTTAAGATCAAATGAAGACAATAAAAAATCTATTTTAAGAAAAATCTTTCAAAATACTTATCCTAATATCTTATGAAAAACAAAACTTTCACATTTTTTCCTAGAAATAGAATGAACAGAGGGAAAGCCATCACCATCAGTTATACAAATGCATTAGATTTAAACATGCTACATATTAAAGCTATATATCCAAGCAGAACTGAAATTAAGGTTCACTAAACATAAATGTTTAGCAGGGGCAGGAAGAGAACTCTTCAACAGTTTACCTGAATACAAAGTTCTAGAAAGCTAGCAAAAGTTCCTATTTCATAACTTCTAGCTAGCATACAGGTTTTCTCTATTTSACGTTTACTATTTCTCACCTCCAGGACATCTTTTTCCCCATAGTGAAAAACATGTGCAAAAAAGGAAAAAAAATTTTTTAAAAATTAGCAAATTTTCTAAAATCTTTAATTCTGTCATATAAAACATTCCTTGCTTTCAATCCCCAAAGAAAAATGGAAAAGATCAAACAAAAACTTCAAAGCACCTTTAAACAAATTTCTTCATGTGGCACTGAGTAATATATATAACTCTTAAGTGTTAAGCAGAAACATTTCCTGGCTGATAAGTAATGAAGTAGATGGTAAAACAAACTTATTATCATTCATTTRTATGGCTCTAACAGAAAATCCATTTGAGAGGGAGGAAAAAAATTCTGAGATAGTGAATTGCACTTCAGAAGGTAAAGGCGAGAGAGGAAAATGATGGTTAATTTTTTTCCTTTGGTCTTTAAAAACTTATTCCTTTTCTAGAGCCCTAAGGCCACATAAACCAAGGCTTCACCAATAGCTTCTCAAGTGACAATTTACCTAATCAGCATGGCAATCACAGAAAAGATTCCATGTTTACTGATTGCACTAATCAAAAATCACTTTTTCAAATGCAGCTAATTGGCAAGTTTACTGAGTGAAATGAAGAGAAGTCACATATCAGGTTCTCATAAGGGCTGCAGAAACTGAATCCCTTATTCATACTGAGTACTCAGGACTGCACTTGACTCCAACAAGTTATCAATACCTAGACAATTACTCATCAGCCAAAAACTGACACATCAAAGACAAATCAAAGACCAACAATAAGAAACACCTGCAGCAGACACTTTGATAAAGAGTTGGCAGTTTGACCAAATGGCCCTTCTTGAATATTAATTTTACACTATATGAAGAAAATAGGAAACTAAAAACATTGTAAAATAAGATTAAATGGTTTAGATTTACATTGTACAACAACAATCTCTAACCAAATTTTAAAGTTCAAAATTCTATAAAAAGGAAAGTTGATCTTTCATCCTTTAAYAGTTTTATAGTACGTATGTGTAAGGTACTGTTTTAAGTATTTAACAACCTAAACTGACTTAGTCTAAATAAATATTCTGTGACACAGACSTTCATATTCTCTGTAACATCTTTGAGATAAGAAAATTGGGGCACTGACCAAAATCTGCTGAGGTCAAAGGATTATTACAGGGCAGAGTAATGCCATGGGTTATGTTCTTAGTCACTTTCCACCACAGTATACAACCTCCAAGTTTCACAGACACTTATGCTGTTGGTGATGCTTTGTGTGATTTTTATTTTACGGAAGGACTAACCTCAAGTAAGAACTAACCTCAAGTTCTGTGCTTCTCAATCAGAAGGCTCAGAAGCTTAGGGTTTCAAGAAGACAGGATTAGGAATTTGAAAACTATTTTCAATACTTTGAAAGTTTAGAACTGACATTATTACACACAGCTAATTAGGACAGGAAGCAAAGGGTTGGCAGAATAGCTCAGTGATAAAGAGCTTGCCTAGAATGTACAAGGCTCTGGGATTGATCTCAAGTACTGCAAAGAGGATAAAGGACTAAAAGGGAAAAAAAAATAAATAAAAAAATAAAAATAAAAATAATATGTACCTAATAAATATTTTGTATGTGTAAATTATATCTAATAACAGCTACAACAATGGCAAAGGAGGATTTATTTACCTGAAGTATCCACTACTTGAAATAAAATGCATAGGTGCAAGTAAGTGTTGCCTATTTCCATGAAAAGCAGACCAAGAACTATAGGACTGCAGGCCCCTTAAAGGGAATAAAATTCCCTACCTTTGGTGTGAAGATGCTGATGAACAAAATAAACTTCGGGCTTATTTATTTATTTTTGTGGTGCCAGGGATGGATCCCAGCCTCACACATGCTAGCAAGCATTCTACCACTGAGCTACATTCCCAGACCCTTGTTTTCATCTTACAGCAAGCAAGATCCAGTGGTCTGAAATTGAAAGACAATACCCTCATACTGAGTAACTTTCTGGATATTAGGTCCATGAATGTTAGATTATGGGCCTATGATTCCTCAAAAGTTAAGGATCAGTAACCTAGAGTAACATTTCTAACATTTCTCAAAGAATAATATGCAAGATGATTTGGGGGAACAAGTGTGTGAACAATTTTTTATGTACATGGTTATATATTCATTTCAATGTGTATTTGACCTGTTTTCCTTCTTTTTTTTGGGGGGGGGAAGATGGGTATTGGGGAGTGAACCCATGTCCTCACACTTGCTAAACATGCACTCTACCAGTGAGCCACATCTCTTTTTGATATACGTATTTGGGGGRAAAAAAGCATATCAAACCAATAATATCAGAGCAGAAAATAAATCAATGTGAGTTAAAAAAAAATTAAGCAAAGATAAATGAGCAAGTAACTGGGTAATATTTAGATAGAGCATGGTGATAGTGGGCCTGTGATTACTATACCTAAGGAAATATAGTACTACAATTTGGATATAGTTTGAATGCCCCTCATGGCTTCATATATTCAAATTTAATTCCCACAGTGAGGTATTAAGAGAGTCAAAACTTTATTTGACTACAAGGTCCAACATGGGGCCTTTGAGAGATGATTAGGATTAGATAAGGTCATATGGGTAGAGTCCTCATAATTAAATCCTGGTGGCTTTATAAAATGGAGATTACACACACACACACACACACACACACACACACACACACACACTCTCTCTCTCTCTCTCTCTCTCTCTCTCTCTCTCTCTCTCTCTCTCTCTCTCATACTCCTTGTCTCCTCATGTGATGCTCTGTACTGCTTCAGGACTCTGCCAGCAAGAAGGCAATCACCACATGGGGCCCCTCAACCTCACACCTCCAGAACTCTGAATCAAAATATACTTCTTTTCTTTATAGGTTAGCCTATCTCATGTATTTCATTATAGTAATATAAAATCAACTAACACGTGTGGAATGGAGGGAAGCTGATTAATGTGAAACTCATGTTTTCACCTTTGCTACTCAAATCTTTTAAGGTTACTTAATGCAATAACCTCAGAAATTCCTCATAATTATCATCTTGAGATGACATACATAAAACTAAACAAGCTGAGACATGCCAGCTCCAGAATTTCTGCATCTCGATTCTTTTTCCTATTTGGAAGCTGTGCTAGCATACAGATGAAAGCAAATGCCAAAGAGCCGTAAGAAAAAGGGAACTGATTAAGAACTGTGTCCATCAACAGCCATCTTTAAAACTAAGTTGGACATGCTTTTACCATTTACAGGAAAAATCTCAAGGCATAAACAGTTCTTTCAAAGTGATGAGACTCTCCTGTTATATAAAGTATGACTTGATATTGAATATATGATATTGAAGTAGTCAGAAATCTTATTTGCTAAATCTTATGAGGGAAGCAGCTATTTAACCTCTGTATCACACAGATTCCCACAGGCTCATTAAACTCTTCACTCTTTCTACACTTCACTAAATAAAACTGCTAAAGTCCATAGTTTTCAAGATAGTCTCTCATAATTCTCCAATCACTGACATTAAAGCATAGACTACTCCAAGTCAGACCACTAGAGAAAGCATACCCTGGAAACAGAGGGCCCTGAGACAATAAGACCTTCAGAACCCATTTTTTCCTTTGGGTACCATCCCCAGAAAAATCTGAGTTTTAGGTTAAAAAGTAGTTTGTAATTTACTCAGCATTATAACAGTGGTAGGCACAGAGCACAAATATTTTCTAACAATTATTAATTTAACCTAGCAATTCAATTACTATGAATCTGGTATAAAGAGCTCTGAAGGTAATCTGTATTACAGTAGATTCTTTTAAAAAAATTATGAAACATTTCAAACATTTAGAAAACAAATTTTCAAATGACATGACATTCACACTTAACAAATGTTAGCATCTTGCTACCCTGTTTCTTCTCCCACCATGCTGCGTCTGTCTGGTTGGGTACCAATCAGATAACAGGAAACATAGAAATAAAATCCTCATGATGACAGTGGTTTTGAGAATTTGGCACATCACTTACACTTCCTTGATAAGTGGGTGCAGCCATAGAGTTAAAAAATAACATTAAATAGATAAAGTTAGTACAAAATCTATAAAGTTTAACATTACATTACTTTCTACCTTTCCCAAAGCAATCAAAATACCATGTTAATTATTTCTGTAGTTAAAATTTCACAACTGGGGGCTGGGGTTATGGCTCAGTGGTAGAGCACTCGCCTAGCACTTGCGAGGTCCTGGGTTCGATCCTCAGCACCACATAAAAATAAATAAGTAAAGGTATTGTATCCAAATACAACTAAAAAATAAATACTAAAAAATATTTCAGAACTGTCCACAAGTTATGAGGGGGTTAAAGAAAGTCAAGGTCTTCATAGAACCACAAGTTTAAAGGAACATTCCCTACCTAAAGCAATGCCTAGCTTTATTTATAAAAGGGATACTTTTTGTGGCTCAGTGGTAGAATGCTTGCCTAACATACACAAGGCCCTGGGTTTGATCCCCAACACTACAACACAACAACAACAAAAAAGATACTTTTGTTTTTTTGACAATCTATTGCCTGATTTAACTGCCCAAATATTTGCATTAATGGAATGAACGCCAATCAATTCCACATGCCTTTCTGCATGTTAACTAAAAACCATATTTATAAGTGAAGGAAGAAATCCCGTTCATTTTATTTAATTAATTATACAGTGAAGATAAAACGGATTTAAAAGATTCTGCCTAAAGTATTCTCTTAAAATTCTTATAAATTATGTTTTTAAAGTCCTTACCTTTGYACCGATACATGAATTTTTTAGCAATGGGGATTAGAAATCAACCTCTGCTCTGATATTTAGTTTAGAATGTAAAATAACAAATTAGTAAAAACTTACTTGACATTAGTTTTGGAATTTGGGCTTGTCCTCTCAACAGTGGCCTGTATAAGTTTCCCTGGTAAGTGGGAGGTGGTGGTGCAGCATTGCTGTAAATACCAGTTCCTGAGCCCCGTGGCATAACGTGGCTGTAAAAGAATCCCCCACAACACATCAGGAAAAAATATAGATATATCCATCACACTAATTTGACACAATTAATTAAATGCTAGGAGCCGTCTCTTTACTACTAGACCCGAATAAGATGAAAATTAAGAAGTTTAATTTATAATTAAAGTTTAAAACTGCATACAATGGTAATGGTGGTTACACCAAGATTAAATGGTAATCATTTAAATATAACATTATATATGCAAAACAATAATGTCTTACATTCCCCCACTCCACATTTCCATTTTTTTCCTTTAGGACCATGCTGTTGCTATCACTATACACATTACTCCTCTACATCTTGCTATTTTCAATTTACTATATCAAACATTTCTCTCTATTTTTAATTTTTACAATTATAATATATATACTACAGAACCATGAAATACTTCACTATAATGAGAGTTTATATTTTTAAGCCTTTCTTCTTATTTAGTGCTTTCTTCTTATTACAGATATAATGTACCCAAATACTTACACATATAATTGTTTTTCTCTAAAATTATTTTCTCAGGATAAATTTAAAAAAAAGAAGAACATGGATGAAAAATTAAGAGTATCTTTAGAGCTGGGCATGGTGGTATATATGTGTAATTTAAGCAACTCAGAAGACTGAGGCAAAAGGATACCAAGTTCAAAGCCAGCCTTGGCAACTTAGCAAGACCCTGGCTTAAAATAAAAGCATTTTTATGTGGCTTTCCAGAATAGCTGGAATAATGGGAAATGACACCCCCCCCCCGCCCCCCAGTCCTGGATCTGAACTCAAAAGTATTCTGTCACTGAGCTATAACTCTAACCCTTTTTATTTTGTGACAGGGTCTTACTAAATTGCTGAGTATGCCTTGTACTCATGATCCTCCTGCTTTAGATTCCCAGCTTGCTGGAATTACAGGTGTGCTTCACACAACCACAAAGTATTCTAAGACCATTCTAAATTTGTTTCTTTTAATACTAAGAATGAAGGCTTTCTAAAACAACCACAGTTGCAGCTAATGTTTATTTACACAGTGTTTAGGGACTATTCTAAATGCTCGACACACATCAGTTCACTGAATTCTTACAATGTCATGAGGTAGATGTAATTATTGTCTCCATTTTACATATAATTAAACTGAGGCATAGAGTGGTCCAGTAACTTTTAAAATTATATTAAGTGGTAAAAAAGGAAACTGAATCCAAATATTTAGGGTTCAAAGCCCACTCTCTTAACCCCTATGCCACGCCATTTTTCCTATTATTTGGGGAAAAAATTACATGCTGATGTAATTTATTAGGAAAGTGCTGTACCATTGAGCTACAGCACTTTCCTTCTCTAGTAATTAGAAATACCTATTTATGAGTTATCATTAATTCTTCAATCATAATTCATTACTATTTCCTCCAGCCTGCTGTTTTTTTTGTTTGTTTGTTTGTTTTTTAATCCTAGCTTTACCTGTAATTGTTTCAAAGTCCTCTCTATTTATTGTCATTTCTACAGCTGGGAAAAAGATGATTCAGTAGCTAATAAGAGCAAAAGACAAAAATCAGAAATTTACAAAGAGGAAATATAAATTTWAAAAAAAGGTCAATTATACATATTAAAAGATAATCTGAGTAGAACAAAAATGCAATTCAAGCAACAATGAACACCACTGTTCAAGCACTGGATACACAAAAATTTGAGAGACGAGTTGCATTTATGTACTACTGTACTGATTAACCCTTTATACGAATTCTCTGTCATCCACTAATTCAGCTGAAACTTTTGAGGGTAAAGAGAATGTTTTATTCCTTTAAAATAAGTGTCACTGGGCTAGAGATGTAGCTCAGTGGTACAGTACTTTCCTAGCATGCTTGAGGCCCTGGGTTCAATCCCCAGCACTGTGGGGGGAAAAAACAAGGGTGGGGTGGGGAGGTGGGGAGGACACGGGAACGAGGACCGAGATATCTTAAGAGAACACAATACAATTTTCATGCAATATATAAATCAAAGACACAAGAGATGTGGATTTCTAAAAGCGAAGAAAAGCAGAAAAGCATCAAAGTCATTAACATCTACAAAATCAGTGTATCTTATGAGCTCTTAGATATCTGTATCAAAAATACTGACTTGCTTTGTCAGATGATTCAAAAAAGGCAAACTATACAAGGGACAGAAACCTACCACTCACCCCAAAGTCCTGAAGGCTGCCTGATCCAGGTGGACAGGCCGCCGGTCCCGGTTAAAGCCAAGCTGGGGCTTCCACTGCCGTCCATTGCTGGATTTTTCCCAGTCACTTGGTTTTAGCACAGCTGCTGGCTTTCTGACCATTTGAAAATACAGTATTTAGTTACAAGGATGAATACCCCCCACCCATAAAAAATAAACCTAGATAGTTTACTGCTGTTACCTTGCTCCTGGAAGCATTACAGCTTTAAAAATGTAATCTTCAGCAAATTGTGGATCTTTAAAATTAATGCTGAAAGAGAACAATAAACAGTTTAATGATTTAATTAATTCTTGGCTTAAWTACCATGGAAACTGACATTCTTTTTGTTTCAACAGAATAAAAATTTTAAAGTCTCTAAAAATTTTCTTAGCCAATGATTTTGCCAAATGGCTAAATATCTTCCTCATCATAATGCCTCTGATTCCTAACACACACCTTCTTATAACTTTCTTTGTGGGAAAGCCATGTTGAAAGCAACTGTGGATGATCACAGAGAAATAAGGACATTAYTCCTGAGGTATTTCAGTATGATACTAGAGATATGCTGAAGAGGTTCACAAAATAAATAAATATTACATACACAAATAGCTAATAAGACACCTATGAGGGTATTTTAAAAAAACTAAACAAAACAACCTACTAAACTTCCTGGTTGGAATCCTRTACCCTTCTTTCCTAATGTTGGCATACACATGCACATACAAGGTCTTCCTTCTGACCTAGTGACTCAGTTAGCTATGCATTGGATTTATACTTAAGGTTACCAATAATATTTTTATTCATAATGTTAAAAAGTCGGCAAACCCAAGTGTATGAATAATAGTAGACTATTAAAGATAACCAGGGCTCTTTCTAAAAATGGAATCCTCAGGCGGGGTAGTTTAAAAATTTAGTTAACAGAATACTTAACAATATAAGAAAAACATATACAACGTACTAAACATATATTCATTGAAAGATTATCAATGACTTTATACAATCATCATCTCCTTTAATTATTTTGTATACTTCCCAAAATTTCTCCAATGATTACAGATTTTAGTTATAGCCAATCTATATGATTTTACTGAACTTTTTGACATACTTACATAGCTGATTTTTTTCCTTTTTGAACAATGCCACTTTAACAACTTTTCTGTTACATTGAAAATTTCCTTGTAGTAGAATTTAACTGTATATTTTAAGTGCACTATATTAACTTCACTTTTATAATAAAAATAACATAAGTTCAAAAACAACACCGCTTTACTCACTCAACCATTTCTTCTAACAACTCATCCTTTACTGGTAACTGTTTTCACCTCAAATGTTCCCTACTGAGCAAGGTTGCATAGGGAGGGCAAAATAGGGCAGTGATTGTCAAAGGTTTCARAGCGTGACAGAGAAAACAGTAGCTATGATTTGGGCTCATGTAGGGCTTTGCAAATATAAAAAAGAGAAAACTGATAATACAACAGGACTTGCAACTAAAAAATATCTCAGAAGTAATTTTTTCACTTGGCAACCAAGGAAACCATCACCAAAAAGGCTGTGGTTTAAGGTGAGACCAGAGTAGTTACAGTGTGGTACAGAAAATAAATGAAACAAAGATACAGTTGAATTTTACAAAACACTTAAAAGAACTAATACCAATTATTATCAATCTATTAAAAAAAATTGTTGAAAAGGGGAGAAATCTGCCAAACTCTTTCTATAAGGCCAGCATTACCCTGATACCAAAACCAAAATTAAAGGAAAGAAAGGAAAAAAAGAAAAAAAAAAAAAAAGACTGATATCCCTGATGAACCTTAATGAGCATATAAGCAAAATTTCTCAACAAAATACGAACCAACAAACATGAATCAACCAAACCCAGCAGCACATTGAAAAGATCATAAACCATSACCAACTGTAATTTAACCCAGAGATTGAAAAATGGTTCAATAAATAGATACAGAAGGAATATACCTCAACACAATAAAGGTTACATATGAAAAACCCACAATCAATTTCACACTAAATGGGGAAAACCTGAAAGTGTTTCCTCTAAAGATCTAGAACAAGGCAAAGATATCCATTTTCATCACTCTTATTCAACACAGTACTAGAAAACTTAGCCAGAGCAATCAAGCAACATAAAGAAATAAAGGGCATCCAAATTGGAAAAGAAGTCAATTATACCCATTTGCAGATGACACAATTTTATACAAAGAAAACCCTAAGGACTCCACCGAAAAATTGGTAGAAATGATAAACAAATTTAGTCAAGTTGCAAGACACAAAATTAACAACAAAAAAATCAAAATAAGATAGCATTTTATACACCAAAAACAAACTGTCTGAAAAAGAAATTTTAAAAAGTAGTCYCATTCACAATATCCAATGTTTTTAAACAATAAAATACCAGCAGTAAATTTAACCAAAGAAGCAAAAAATCTCTTATAAAACATTCATGAAAGAAATCAGAGGTCACAAAAAAATGGAAAGACATTTCATGCTAACGGACTGGGAATTAATATTGTTAAAAGATCATATTACTCAAAGTGATCTACAGATTCAATGGATTCCCCATCAAAATACCAATGGCATTCAGCACAGAATTAGAAAAAACAAAAAAACCCAAACCAAAATACACACCAAAAAAAAAAAAAAAAAGGAGGCATCACAATGCTTGACTTCAAAACATTTACAAAACTATGATAATCAAAACACCATAACACTGTCATTTTTTTTTAAAGGCAGAGACTCACAGAACAGAATAAAAGAAATTAATCCATGTGTTTACAGCCAACTGACTTTTGATAAAGGGGCCAAAGACACAAACTAGAGAAGGACAGTCCCTTCAAAAATGATACTGAAAAAACTGAAATCAGATATATGCACAAAAATAAAACTAGACCCCTACTTCTACAAAAAACAACTCAAATGTACTAAGAACCTAAATTTAAGACCCCAAACTATGAAACTACTAGGGTTAAACACTTCAAGATATTAGAATAGGCAAAGATTTTTTTTATAAGATCCAATACCCACAGACAACAAAAGCAAAGCTAGACAAATAAGATTATATCAAAGTAAGAAGTTTCTGCACAGCAAAGGAAACAACAGACTCAAGAGGTGACCTACAGAATGGGAAAAAATTTCTGTAAATTATTCATCAGATAAGGGATTCATATCCAGAATATATTATAACTCAAACAACTCAACAGCAAAAAACACACACCACAAATAATCCAAGTAAAAAATGGGCAAATAATCTGAACAGACATTTCTTAACAGACACACAAATATGTAAAAAGTCTTCAACATATTCAAATCAAAACCTTCATTAGAATGGCTATAATTAAAAAGACAAGCCAGGAATGGAGGCACATGCCTGCAATCCCAGACTTGGGAGGCTGAGAGAGAGGATTGTGAGTTCAAGGCAGTCTCAGTAACTTATCAAAACTCTCAGCAACTTAGTGAGACCCTATCTCAAGATGAAAAATAAAAAAGGGATAGGGATATGTCTCAGTGGTTAAGTGCCCCTGGGTTCAATCCCAGCATATAATAATAATAATAATAATAATAATAATAATAATAATAATAAATGCTGGAAAGGATGCATGAAAGGAAACTTATACACTATTGTTTTATAAGAATTATACAGTCATTATGAAAAACAGGAAGTTCCTAAAAAAACTGAAAATAGAATTACTGTATAATCCAGCAATCTTACTGCTTACTGGGTATAGATCCATTTTTTGTTGGTTCATTTTTTGTGGTGTAGGGAATTGAACCCAGGACCTCAGCATGCATTCTAACACTCAGCTACACCCCAGCCCTAGTACTGGATATGTGGCCAGAGGAAACAAAATCATTACATCAAAGTGATAAATGATACCTGTATGCCATGTTTACTGTAGCACTATTYATAATAGCCAAGATACGAAATGAACACAGATGTTCATTGACAGGTGAATTAGAAAATTGTGGTATATATACACAATGAAATATTATCCAGTCATTAAAAGGGACAAAATCCTGTCATTTGTGACAACATGGAGAGCATTAGAGAACAATATGATAAGTGAAATATGCCAGCACAAAGAGATAAATAGCACTAGGAGAGGAGGAAAGGAGGATGGATACCAAGAGGGTAGATAATGGAAATCAAAACACAGATAGTGGGAAGCAGTTTGGATGTTATACAGCACAATTAGGCAACTACAGCTTACAACATTTATATATTTCAAAATAACTAGGAGAAGAGTTTGAATATTCTCAACACAGAGAAATGATAATATCTAAGTAGATAAAAATGCTAATTATGCTCACTTGATCATTACTTATTGTTTACATTTATTGAATTACAACACCATATTCCATAAGTAAAAACATTTCATGTCAACTGAAAAATATTAAATTTGAGGTTGTGTGTGTAAGTCAGAGGTAAAGTGCTTGCCTAGTATAGGTGAGACTCTGGCTTTGATTCCTGACAATGGAAGAAGGGAGAGGGAGGAATAAAGATACAGTCCTGTTTGCAGGACCAAGGAAAAGCACAATTGGAGAAGTCCTACTCAGTGGAGATCTGAGAGAGAAGCCCAACATAAAAACGATTCAAGCGACTATATTCTCAATTCTCCCAAGGAATATAAATAGCAAGTACCATTCTAGAGTCACAGAACACACAACTTACTTGTTACATACAACAGAAGCTTTAATCTCTGAGGCTTAATTCTCATGTGGAACCCCAAATGCAATGGGCTAGACTGGAGTGCAAAGTGCAGAAACAGAAAAAGGCAGGAAGAAAGGCTATGGATTATGGTCATAAAGGGTTTGACTACAACTTAAAGCCATTTCAAGTCATCAGTAAGGAAATAAAAGTGATCAAAGATATATTTCAGAAAGAACAAGCAAGTAGCACTTTGAAAGAGGGCAGAACAAGACACCCATTAAGGAATCATAGATGTGATCTAGGTAAGAGCCTTCAATATACATTTGAAAAAGGGATATTGGGAAACCACACAGAATGGCAGGATTGGAACTAGAATGAAGATCAGATTCAGATGAAGGTTCAAGATAAAGATTTTATCTGCCAGTCATACACAGAAAGACTTGACACTAAGAAAATGAAGGAAATAGCCAAGGTAACATGCTCTTGGAGAGAAGATAGATAATTCCAGGATTGGGAGAATAATCTCTTCCAAAAGACAGGAGTTATTAACAACAGGAAAATAAATCTCTAGTCACTTAATATRTGCAATTCACTGTATGTACTATTTAATAATTTTTTTTAAATCCCATTTTTCATGTTCATGCTCCAAAAGGTAAAAAAATTTCCAAGCCATTAAGAAAATAATTTTTCTAGGCATAGTGGCACACTCCTGTAATCCCAGTGGTTTGGGAGAATGAGGCAGGAGGATCCAGAGTTCAAAGCCTGCCTCAGCAATGGCAAGGCACTAAGCAACTCAGTGAGACACTGTCTCTAAATAAAATACAAAATAGGGCTGGAGATGTAGCTCAGTGGTCGAATGGTCCTAAGTTCAAGCGTCCAAAAAAGAAAAGAGAAAATAATTTCCAAGAGTTCCCACATTGTCCCCCCAGAGAACCACATGCAACAAAGTAGTCTATATACTTAACATAGTACAAACCATTAAGAGACAAAAGGGGTACCTAGTTTGGAAGTCTCCACTGAAGGAATAAAGACACTATTTATGCTCTCGAAGATTAAAGCATTTTTGTTCCTTGGGTCTTTGAGAACAATTTGAAATCATACTCTCCTAAAATTAGTTAAACTTCTCCTGGTAAAGAGATTTTTAGTATTTTATTTGGTTCCTAAGAATGTATACTAGGATCTATTATGTTTTTAGGAATGCACTTTTCCAATGTGATAGCTCAAACAAAATTCCTAAAAATGAAACAGACAACGGAAGAGCCAAAGAGTAACTTTTTATATGAATTCAAACTCTCAAAATTACTTCATATTTTTCTGGTTTATAATTTAAATTCTTAAAAGTAGATCATTGATGGGGAAAAAAAGCAGAGATTACCCTTTGACAATTTTCACCATCTGGGACTAAAGCATCAATTGTAGAGAGTTTTCCTGTGGAGGGAAAACATTAAGTAACCCTGAGACACCCAGGAGCACCCAAAGTCTCACAGAAGTCAAGGAAAGAAACAAATAGTTAACACAACAGTCTTTGGGGTCTCATGATGTAGCTCAGTGATAAAGCACTTGCCTAAAGCATGAGGTCCCAAGACTGATCCTGGCCCACAGCAGAGCCAAACAAACAAACAAACAAAACAAACAAACAAACAAACAAACAAATCCCACCCACCCCAAACAACAACAACAAAAAACTAAGAAGCCCTGGAACAGCTAAAGGACTCAACAGGCTGACCAGCTAAATTGTGTTTGAATTTATATTATTTTACCTAATTCTGTGCACTGCAGAAGTATTTTCACTTTACTTTTTCCAAATACGGGAACAACATTGCTGATTTACCCAGCATTAGCGTCTACCCACCAGKTTAGCCCCAAGAGCAATATAATGAATCTCTTCCTTAGTAAGTATACTCTCTTACATTTTCATTTACCTGGTTGTACTTCACCAAGTACAAAACAGAAATTTAAAACCTAAACATGGTTGAAAATAAGGAAACTGAACTATGCTTTTATCTGTACTACCATAAGAAGAAAACACAGCAAAGTCTCAATAGAAAAGTAAGGGAATGTACAATATCTTTTCCTGATTTAATTCACTCTAAGTATTATCCTTAGGAATGCTACATCAAGTACTAGTAACATTTAAGAATAGTGGTACCACTTTACAAAGAAAGCAGAAAATTCCAAATACCAGGCTTCATTTTCACTCTATMTTTCCCTCATACATTCTGTAATTAATGCTAAATCAGCATACCAATGCAAACTGTTCTAGCAGGGAAAATTTCATAATTCATATACTTGACATTTTAAAACACTTAAAGAGTTTATAGAATTGTGACATTCTATCAGAAGRGGTTAACCAGTTCAGTGTCCTACAAAGTATTACAGGCAGTGGAGGTTAAACCCTCCAAAGTGTTTTCCACCATGAAGTTTATTGCTGATTTCATGTATTCCACTTCTGTCAGGCATTTCTGATTTCAAATTAGCTGCTTGCCAATAATGAACCTTACAAATGCTGCAGTAATGGTTACATTAAAAACTCCATCTCCGCACATATTCACAGTTTTTAAAAAGAATTTCCTTAAAGAAAGAATGTTCTGTTCCTTCCCTGATTTACCCAAAGATGAAACCAAAGTTTGAGAAACACTCATCTAGAGAAAAAAGTTTGTAACTCTTGGAAGAATCTGGCAAACACTGCTTCCAACACTATAAACAATTGAACCTTTGTAAGGGTTTAGAACCATGCTAGATGACATGAGAGAAAAAAGAAAAACCTAATAATGCTAAAAATAACATGTACAAAATTATGTAAATTATATACTGTGTTTTGTGAGTGGGGAGCAACAAAGGGACAGGCAGAGAAAAAAAGGGAAGAGTATTTTAAATAAAGGGAGGAAGACACAGAGGCCAAAGGAATGCTGAAGGGACCAGCCTGGGTGGAAAGGAGGTGTCTTTGAAGAACTAGATGCAGGCACAGAGCTATGGCTCTGCCAAATTATGACAGGTCTTAAAAACATAAAAGGGTACATACATGTCAGTACATGTATACACCTACCCCTCCAAAGGAACAAAAACTGTGCTGCTTTACTGGAAAGACAACTTTTCTGTAACTTTAAAGTCATACACAGAAGGATTTATATATTTAAAGCTAACAAAGAACTAGTCAAAAAATATTATGTCTAAGAAGACCAGGATGAGGAAAATTAAAGGAGATAGCTTAGTTCTATTCCAAGTTATACTATTAATATGGTGAATGACATAGATCAGAATTGAAAAAGATCTCTTAGGTCATAGCTTTTTGTATTCCCTAAGGGTTCTTCTATGAACTTAAGACAGATGGAATGGTTCAAAGGGGCTGGGAATGTAGCTCAGTAGTAGAGTACTTGGCCTGGCATGCACAAGGCCCTGGATTCAGTCCCCAGCAGCCCCACCCACACACAGACACAAAAGCTTAATAACTTGTATAATATACTTTTGAGTACTACAAATTAGACTAAATATGATGGGAATAATCAACCCAGCATAAGGAAACAAATTCTCAAAATACGGAATGGATGCATTCAAACAGAGAATGGGGCAGGGGAATGGCAGGAGTCAAAACAAGTAACAATGGAAGCTGCATTTTTAGATTTTCATTTATAAAGCAAATATAATGCCAGGATGCACAACAAGCCTGGGGACACACACAGATGGGGACACACACACACACACACCAAAAAAAAAAAAAATGCAATAAAATGCTTCTTGGGCTCAAGATTATCCCTCAGAGAAAACAATGAAATTACCTCATAAGGTAAAAATTAACTTTAATCTTTCACAAATCTTTATGAAATTAACTCTAAATCAATTGTACTTTGAAATTATTCTAAGCATACATCTGAATATGCACACAGACCTGGGATTTGTTTTATAAATTTAATTAATAGTGAAAATATAGTGAGTACCAAATACCAAAATCACCTTCAAGCATAGAAACAACCAACTAACATCATCATCAACCAAAAAAAAACTCCAGGATCTATCCATTAATTCTTTAACTCTCCTTTGGACAAGCCTCTCTATCCTTATTAGAAAGTTAAGTAGAATTAACTATTTCTACAGGGCTGGGCAGGAAGCCCCTTGAAAAGATGCAGAAAAACTGAGGAGCACAAGCAAAAATGTGACAATCCAAAGAGASAACTGGTGGAATTAACCAGCCTGAAGTGACAATGCAAGTCAGAGACCCCAAGGGTGAATACACAGAGTCTACATGAATCTATCAGAGCCAGATTGTTTGTGATGGGCTTAGGAGCATGGCTTTAAAGTCTGTACTTCACCCTTAACAAAGGAGTACAAAGACAAAGAGCAGGACAAATTATGTGTAAAAATAAACAAAACAAAATCAACCAATTCAGGAAGATTTTTCCTAACTTTTTATAAAGAAAAGGCTTTCTAGAATGACATTTACTACCTAAATCCATTAAAGATAGGAAATAAACATGCTTATACTTGAAAAATCTGCACAAAATCTAAAATGTTTTCTGAGAGAGATTAAAAAATGGGTAAGAAAGGAAGAATCAAGATTAGAAGAGATGTATTTGTTTTAGTTTTGCCTAAATAACGGAGAAAATGACAATAAACTCTGATGTCAGTCAAGATTACTAATTATATTACACAAATGAGTAGTAAGTATTAATTTTTATTCTAAGCAGTCATATTTTACATTATTTTTTACTCAGTAGAAAGTACTATCACTGCTGAAGAACTAAGGGATAAATAATTTTTCCAGAGAGGAGAAATCAGCTCTCAAGTTTGTGATAACCTTACTTACTTACTTACTTATTTATTCTATTTATTTATTTTGCAGTGTTCGGGATTGAATCCAGGGACTCATGTATACTAGACAATAGTTATATGGCTGAGCTATACCCCAAGCCCACCAGTGTAATAAAAATTTTCACAAACACATTTTGTCTCATCTTAACTAAAACATATCATATAACGTTTTTGTTTTTAAACTGTACAGGACCACAACTATAAAAATAATTAATATAGTAAAGTTGAGTGAGCTGCTGGGATGTAGAAGCCTGTTTGCTTCTATATGGCAAACTACTAAAAACTCCTACTCTCCACCTCCCACTTTCCTAATCCAGGAAGAATTAGAGGTTGTCAGGGGAAACCAGAAAACAGATAAGCATGCTTGTTAAATCAGTAACCTTAACAATATACATAATTTAAAGTCAAGAGGTCCTGCTCTGAGGTCTGCAACACAGGGACTCTCTACCAATCTCAAAGCATTGGTGGATTAACAGTTGCCAATTCCTTGTGAAATCAGAGTTCTTTTAAAATTTTATTCATTTGCCAGTTCAGAGCTGTGTTCAGGGTGAATGCTATGAATTTAGGAAAACTTACCTGATTGCAGAGTTCTGTGTCAGATCTCGTAACATGGGAACAGGAGAACATACTACTCTAAAAAATAACAAGAAGAGAACCACCCGTTTGTAAACTATAACYTTTTAGATAACAGGAAGTAAAATGTTAATATGTTTATTAGGCTATAGAAGAGCAAATTAATTAAAATGAACAAACAAAAACACTATGACTATTTGTATCTTTAGAAAATGACCCTGACTTCCTTGTTTATCATCTCCTAAACAAAAAATGATTATGAGCAAAAGTTTATCAGTTTCTAAAACAAAAACAAAACAAAAAACCCTACAAATCAGTAAAGAGAACAGATTAACTTAAAAAAAAAAGAAACACGTACCTCATAAATGAGAAAAATCAAATGATTAGCCATTTGATATTTAAACTCATTAGTAATCAGAGAAATGTGATTATAAATCACTGTCAATAAGCACCCACCAGACTAACAAAAATTAAAATGTTACAATGTCCCAAGAATTTGCCAGGATCTGCAGAGCAATCCGATTTCTCACAAATGGCCACTGGGATTATAATATGATATAACCACTCTGAAAAACACTACATAGTTATCCAATAAAGATGAAGACACACATATTCTGTGCTCAGCAATTCCATTCCTGAATACAAACCTATATTTTCCTATTCTCAAACTCTGATCTCAGTTTTTATTATTGTTGTTTAAAATTTTAAAAATTACTGAAAATCTCCAAGAGCTTTTGCTTATGTTCACTACATTATCAATATTTACCTACTGAAAATTAAAACTATTAATTAAAAAATTAAAACTAGCTTTTAAAAATTAAGACATTTTAAAGATAATGAAAAAATCTATTACATGTTAACATAAATAACATTTTAATGAAAAACAGCTACCTTTTATAGAGCAAAATAAAAATAAATGAGAAGAGTATCATTGTTTTACAGTTTTGAAAATCTCAGTATCTGGCTTAGTACCTGTAAGTCACGACTCTCTTTGCTTTTGGTTCTACCTCTTAAAATATCACACTACATTTATTTTCTGAAAAACTCCATTGTGCACTCAAAGAAGAAAATAAGTGAGAAAAACAAGTAATACCATACAATCTTAGTGTCACTATGAAAATAATTATAATCTTGTAGTGCCCTAATAGGTTTCAGGTACCCCAGAATTCCCCGCACAATGTGCAGTCTACCATATGTTAAAGAGCTGGGCTTTGAAGCCAAGCCTTTTCTAATCCAGCAGGTTTTACTTTGTGTTAAGTATTATTTTCTCACTATTACAAGAGAATAAAATGTTAGGACACAAGAAAAATGCTAACTAAACCTCCTTCCATTCACCTTAGTTATATACAAATGAATGCTTACTGATCTGGAAGAATGGCTTCTTCATCCAAAGAAAATTTTCCTTGAATCCCATGACAAAGTTCAGGTGGCACATCCACTGGCTGTGGAAAAAGTATTCCTAATTATATACCCAAATGAATAAAAAATTAGTAAATAAGCAGATACTTGTATGTTTAAATTCTTAGGACTATTATTCATAAAAGCTCACTGGAGTATTATTTATAAGAGTCAAAAAAGGTAAAAATAACCCAAGGATCCATCAACAGACAAACGGGCATATACATATAAATGGAAATGAGACATATAAATGGAAATAGAAAATAACTCAGCTATACAAAAGAATGGAATTTTGCAATGTACTACAACATGGATGAACCTTAAAAATATACTCGGTGAAATAAGCCAGACACAAAGGACAAATATTGTATAATTCCACTTATATGAAATACCAAGAATAGGCAAATTGAGGGACAGAAAGAAGTTATAGGAGATGGGGGAAAGGAGACAGAGTTTAATTCCTGCAGAACTATGGGTGTGTGAAAGTTTCTGGAGATGAAGTATGGGTGTGTGAAAGTTTCTGGAGATGAAGTGATGTTGATGACGCAATACCATAAATATAGTTAATGTCACATAATTTTAAACTAAAATATGGTTAAAATGGTTAAAATTTCAAGGTATGTACATTTGAGTACATACCAATGGTATACCATACCTCAGTGGAACCTGTCTGATACAGCTCTGAAATGAAGTCATGGAGTGGGTGATGTTTCCCCACAAACAAAACATCACCTCCAAGGCTGTTCCTTTTATCTAAGGGGAAAGTTAGAAAAGAGTAAGATGACGTATTAAGCAATTATATTTACTAGACCCATTTTTGTGAGCACACAACAACAGCATCTAAATTTGAAAAACAATTCTAGTATGAAGTTTATGACAAATAATTTTAAAGTGACAAACTTAAATGCATGATGTGTCTCTACGGAAGAAAAAAATAGTTTGACAATGTTTTCAAAGATCAGTAACAGAAAACGATATCACTGAAARGTAACTGAATACATTGTAAGATAATTGGCAAGGTTTTCTTATTCATAAAGAACTCAATTTCTTAATATAAGGAAATACAAACTGTATCATCTGAGGATAAAGATTATTCTAAAGATACCTGATGGAGAAATTGTTTCTAACAGACTTTTAYTGTACTGGTATTAAACATACATTTTTCAATAGAGCTCAGCTTTACAATTTCTCCATTTAAATATTTTCTACTGTATTAATTACAAAAAAATGCCACTTTTATGCAAAATAATATTTCAAGTTTAGCACTCTAAGGGCAAATGCTTGTTTCCCCCTAATCTTTCAAGCAAGGTTATTATTTCGGAGGCCATGGATGGAGAAGACAGAGGAAATGAGTAATACCTTCCCACCAGACAAAAGTATTATTTTGAGTGCATGTCATRTAACAACCAAAATGTCAAAGGATATTCTTGAAGTATCACTTTTTAATAAATTTAACAAAGACTTCCAAGTTAATAAATATTACTTAAGTACTACTTCATTTAGAGATGATAGATTAAGAAAGTAAATATCTGTTATATAAAGTAAAATCAGTGATTTATGCTCATTTATAAGAAATATGACAAATGGGGGGTTTAATGTTATAAGAAAATGTGAAGTCTATTTCACAGGCTCAAAGTTGACCAAATGGCAGTAAAAATCTTACTTTCTTCCGGAGTGAGGTCTGGGTATACCTCTTCTAGGGCAGCTCGCAGCCTTCGCTCATCCACGAATGGCAACAGAGCAACACCTGAGGAAATGAACAAACCATCCTAGCTATTAGGATAACCTAATTCCAACTTATTGATCCAAATAAATGATTTTATCTAGTACATACCAGAGGTATACCTTCTTGATATAAAGACATTCTGGAACTGAACTCTATTTTGTCATTTCGCCAAACTCAGATGCAACAATTTTATATGTAGCAGAAGAAAAAAACATTTTCCATATTTCTCATACTTAAAATGGCTCATATAGAAAATTATGGTTTTTGAATCTTTGTGGTGATATGATTTTTATTTTTTATTTATTTATTTGGGGGTAGGGACTGAGGATTGAACGCTGGGGCACTCTACCACTGAGCTACTCCCCAAACCTGTTTTTTTTTTTTGAGACAGTTGGTCAGGCTGACCTCAAACTTGCAATCCTTTGGCATCAGCCACCCCTGGAATTACTGGCATGTGCCACCATGCCTGGCATATGATACCCACAGAAAAAACCTTAAGGAATTGTTCATGAAGAAATGGTCACCTAGACACTAAACTCTTGCCTTGCTCTCTAAGATGCCCCCAGACAATCCACCTAATCATTGTAGGGCTTGAGTTTTTATTTATTTTTTTTAATCTTTATTACACCCTCGGTCTATAAAATGAGATCATTCAACTAAAATATTCAAAAGTTCTATTCAACTATACCATAAGAAAGGTATCTTCCAGTCCAAGCTTCTATAGTATTAAGTTTATGCTTTTTAAAGCCTATTAATTAATTCATGTACAAAAATTCTTTAGACACATCCTTAAATAACTTKAAGTGGAAAACAGAACAGAGGCTGTTCAGTTAGGGGCTGAAAATGGTTCCCTAGAGTATGAAAGAATTAAGGGCAATGCTTTATTTGAATCTATATGCATAATTTTCAGAAAAACATACCACTAATAAATTATCTATTACCAGTAAAATTTTAAAAAGTCATTGAAACATATGTATGTTCTCCTATTRTGGATCAAAAAATAGTATTTTGGCTAAATAAAAGTTTAAGGTAAAAAGTTTAAGGTAAAGAGCAAAACAAATATTAAACAGAACCAAACAATTTTGAAACTATTGCCATTCAAAACTGCTGCATTTGAAAATTATGAAGAAAAATGTTTCCCTAAATTGTCATTATTAAGTTACTCTCCTTATATACATACATATATACACATACACATACACACACACACACACACACACACACACACACACACACACATGGTGGTTAGTTTTGGGGGGCAGTACGAAAGATTTGAACCCAGGGACTCACAAGTGCTCTACCACTGAGCTACATCCTAGCCCATTAGCTACCATATTTTCAAAGAAAACATTTAATTTTACTATCTAGTAAGGAGAAATTTTAAAATTACAAAGAAACTTAATTCTACTATGAATTTTGAAGAGACTAAAAAGTTATTTCAAAAATATTAATATCAAGGGCTGGGCTATGGCTCAGTTGGTAGTACACTCATCTGGCATGTGTGAGGCCCTGGATTCAATTCTCAACACCACACAAAAATAAATAAGTAAATAAAATAAAGATATTGTGTTTATCTACAACTAAAAAAAAAAATTTTAAAAATATTAATATCAGACGGCTGGGGATGTGTCTCAGTGATAAAAAGCTTGCCTAGCATGCATGAGGCCCTGGGTTCAATCTCCAACACTGCAATAACAACAATAACAGTAATAGTAATAATAATCTGAGTAAGGCTACTTCAATTACTGCTAACCCACAGAAAAACCGTTAAGGAATTGTTCAAGCTTTATTTGGTAACACTTAAGATAAATGCATGAATGAGAAACAACATTACAGAACTTTTATTTTCTATCCATTGGACTTAGAATCTTAAAAAACTACCTGCAGGATTTTACTACAACAAGGCTTCCTTACAATATTTACTTCAGAAGCTAATCAGAAAGCAACCTATAGTGCCATTTTGAGCAATAAAGTTTAAAAGCAACACATCAACCCTAATGGCCAGGCAGAAAGGAACATCTTACTTCCAGGTGTGATATCAACAGTGCTTGAGAGCATGCTGAGAGTAAAATGAGAACAGCAGCTACTGTTCTCTGAGTTCTATGTTACATGTATTACCTCACCTAATCCTCCCAATCACCCAGAGACAGCCCAGATAGTGGGTATGCTCAGATAAACACAGTCACTTCAAAAGTGAGATCTAGAGTCATACCCTCTGATCAAATTACTTAAGTTTTCTTTTCTGTTCCTATATCTAGCAATCAAATATATAACAATCAAAACACGTATATCAAACTAAATAAACTTTACATATAACAATATTGCTATTAAATTACAACATTGATAAGTATACACAGTCTAAAATTTGAAAAAGTACAAAGATATATTTTATCTTATTTATTTATTTTGGTATTTTTCAGTACTGGGGATTGAACCCAGAGATGCTTTACCACTAAGCTCCACCCCAAGCACCTTTTATTTTGAGACAGGGTCTCACCAAGTTAGTGAAACTGGCCATTCCTACAAAATCTGTTAATAAAAAGAACAACAACAACAAAAAATAGGTAAAGTAATAATTAATGTCAAGTATTTAAATTAAATAAAAATTTCTAGTATATTTTTTAAAAATTTCCATGTAGTGTAAGGAAACTCTGAAAGGACACTACCATGTTTCTTTTTCTGTTAATCTCAAAAGGTAATAATGAACTACTCATAAAATGTAACAATGTTATTGATTAATCATAAAGGAGACAACAGATGTAACTACTAACATATTTCAATTCAATTTGTTTATTGGAATTTATTATTAAAATTACTATTAACACCTGGGCATTGTAACCCCAGCGACTCAACAGGCTGAGGAAGGAGGATTGCCAAGTTCAAAGGAAGCCTCAGCAAATTAGTGAGACCCTGTCTCAAAAATAAAAATAAAAAGGGATGTGTGTGTGTGTGTGTGTATATGTATATATGTATGTATGTGTGTGTGTATATATATATATATATATATATATATATATATATATTAAATGTATATATATATCAATGGTAAAGCACCCCTGGTTTCAAATCCCAATACCAAAAATAAAGTACTATTAATCATTTGCTAATTATAAATGATGAACAAATATCATTTTTTTCATATGTAATTCTGAAAACATCTTTTCAAGAATTCTTTCATCCCATAAGTCATGATTACTCTGTTTTACCAAAAAGTTTTAACAAAAAGAAATAATGTCTAAATGTTACCTTGCCATGCATATTTCTTCCCATTCAAATCAATAGCAAAATCTTCAGGATAGAAGTCAATTATACTAGAATCCTACATCAGGGAGAAAAAATAAAGAATCAAAACAAAAGCCTCACACCTCTATTACAAAGAATTTGATATGACTTTTGTTCAATTTTTCAGGCCTGATAAGGAAATGAGATACACCCCCTTTTAGAAATGTAAAAATATGAGGTCATCAATCCCAAGTGCAGTAAAACAAAATTAACAATTTTACTAAAAAGATGAAGAGAGAGGAATTTTAGAACTGACAGGCAGGCAGGCAGGCAGTGAAGGGTTTATTTACTTTAACAATTCCTACTTCCTAGCTGGTTCTCACTTTTTCTAGCTAATACACAAAACAAGTTCAGAGGTGATTTCAGGTAAGCCAGATTTCAAGCTTCCAGAAGCCATCATACAGGGCTGAAACAACAACAATAAAAATCTTACAGGTAGGCTGAGGATCACCCAATCTTATTTACTAGATAGGATACTTATTTATAAGGAAAACAAGGAAATAATATGTTGGGGGGAAATATATGTAGTGAAAAATACACAGAAGAACTCAATACTTGAGTTTCTGTGAAGTTTTTTTTAACTACAAGATGCAAAAGTAACTGAAACTAATATTAATTAAATACATGATAAAAACCCAGTTATAGGGATGGAAATGCAGCTCAGTGGTAAAGCATCTACCTAGTACGAATGAGACCGTGGGTTCAATTCCCAGTATTGTGGGTGTGGGGGAGCAGGGGAAGGAAAAAACCAACACACTGAAAATACCAAGACTCACAGGATCACTCATGAGTTTCCGCCAAGATGGAGGTAGAAAATTACCACTTGCAGCAGGAAAAACTCCCATAAGTTGTTCCAAGGGTTTAAACTGTGAGAGAGAGAAAATAAGGGGGAAAAAGTTGAAACCTCAAATTATTACCTAATCCAAAATTTATTTTATTGATTCTAATTAGTCAGGCTTACCGGTTTAGTGCCCTTCTCAAAATCAGAAGGCATGTCTGCAATACCTTCAAAGTCTGAAGCAAATGGGGCATAATGGAATGGATAATACCACTTCCAGGAAGCACAGCCCTATAATCATTAAAAACAAATAAAAATTAAAAACCCATGTTAATGATAGATATAGTTAAAAAAAATTAAGACTGTTCACCTATAATATTCTATTTATAAAACACTTGACTTCTGGGGAATACATTCCACATATTAATTTTTTCTCATTAATCCCAAAATTTGTTTTGATTAAATCTGAACTTTCTGCTTCATACCAGTGGCTCTCCGACTTAAAAAATACTGCAAAGCATCTCCAGTTATCAGCACCTAACACCAAACTTTATATTCACAAATACAATTTGGTGAAGATTTTCATCCTGAATATATATTTGGTGACATTTCTTTCCAATTTTAGAGCTGTCAACACAAACTAAAAGCAAGAGCAGTTGTAGCTGACATTTACTGAGTTGTAGGTAGCTAAGGAAATCATTGGAACACTAGTTCAGAGTAAAACAGCCAAATTTCATTTTATAACTCACTATTATGTTTTAATGTGATAATTTTCTTGTAACTACAAAAATCAGTAAACACACCAAAAAGAAAACAAAAGCAAGTYATATACATAGGAAAGAGATGCCTTTTGACATGTCTTTTGACTCATCCTTAGAGTAACAAACATTCAAAGAGAATATTTTACATGTGATGCTTGGTCCACTCTTGTTACTTTCTACTTATAAACAAACTTCATCTAGGGCTGGGGATGTGGCTCAAGCGGTAACGCGCTCGCCTGGCATGCGCAGGGCACTGGGTTCGATCCTCAGCACCACATAAAATAAAGATGTTGTGTCCACCAAAAACTGAAAAATAAATATTAAAAAAAAATTCTCTCTTTCTCTTCTCTCTCTCTTTAAAACAAAACAAAACAAAACAAAACCAACTTCATCTATTCCCAGGTCACACCAAACTTTACTTGATTGACTCTCTGAGCGTGAAACCAGATAATTACCAGTGTACATCAGTATGTCAATCTATTCTCTTACCAATCTGATATCTCAATTATTAAAGGTTTAAGTAAGATACAGATCAGTTCAATTAGAATTCACTTCATATAATATCATTATCATATTATGGAAGAAATAGTATCATTCAAATTCCTTTCAAACTCTAACGGGTATTTTCCAGGCTTTATCCTTTGTTCAGTCATTTAGTAACTGTCAACTAATAACTCAGTTACTTTTAAATTGTCAGTTAAAAACTCTATTTAATCACCTTAAAGACAAAGTATGTTAACCACATTACTTGATGATAAATATCTTTTACCACAACAAAACCTAATTGTTTATATAAACTAAAGTAGTTTTGAAGTCTTTACAAACAAATATTATTTATGGTAATAAATTTCTGAATAGAAAGCTTAGAAAAATTAGTCTGGGTATTATTTCAGGATATTCAGTATTATACATTATTATAGAAATCACTACCTTTCTAAAATGATTAACTAGATACACATAGGAAAAAAATTTTCTTTTGGTACCTGGTAATAATATCGAAGAACCCAGCAAAGTCCCTCAACGTAAGACTGTACAACTTTACGACGGAATTTCTCATCAGCTGCATCAACATCAAACTTGTTCTTGTAGTACCGCTGCTTCCAACCAGCTTCCCATAACCTAAAAACCAAGGAAAGCCTGTTTATATTGAATTAATACAATTTTTGATAATAGATTGTGTCTACTGATTTATATCCCAAATCAACTTATATTTCATACCCAGGGAAAACGTGGATGAGTTAAACAGTAATGTGAATACAGATTCATGTAACTTCTAAAAAAGTCCATTTGCACAGAGTTTATCAACTTAAAGACAGTCAAACAATAAAATCCAAAACACTAATTTGGTAAAAACCATTATAACACTACATTTTAAAAAAGAGAGAGTGAAACCATGTGTTAAGTACACTCAGAACATCTGTTTGCTCAATTTTAATAATGCTTTACATGTTTTTTTTGTGGAACAACTCTAAAACTACATCTTAAGATTCAAATACTTAAATATATTTCATGTAGTTCAAGTTCTTCAGTTTGTTAAAAAATATTTAAGCTACGCAAGTAAAACTACTTTTAAGAAGGTATTCTTTAATGTAAATAATAGTTTATGAAATATCCTAGGTACCAGGCAGAAATTATGTGTATACCTGTTCTCTCTATCCTTGCTTGAGACTCATCCCTCTTTCAGCTAAGARTTGTTGATGGCTTAAAGAAGGAGATAGATATATAKAGAGAGATACATATTCTACATCTCCATATTATCTATACACACACAATGTATGATSTGGTAAAACCTAGAAGCAGGTTTATTTATCCATTAATTATCATTTTTCACTGAAAAGACAATGTGAAGAACCACATTTTCACCCAAAACACGTTTTTAAAGTACCCATTTTTCATTCTCTAAAAGATTTTAACATTTTATTTAAGGAACATGAAGAAGCAAAAGAACACTTTAAAAAGCCAGGACAGATCAAGAACAACAAGATGATTCTCTATTAAGGACTGTTTTCCACATGTGCCAGATTGCACATGTTAATCGAAGTCATGTCTCAGAATACCATAATAATTTTAATCCCCCTTCCACACAAAGGAGTCATAGAAAATAGTTATGAGTCATAGTCTCTATCCATAATGTAGATTTATCACTGTTTTATAAGAATATGTTCATGAAATAAATTCTAAGAGCTCAAAGCACTTCTTGGTAGAAACATCTTTACCCTGATTATCCTTAGAACTAAGATTAAACAATAAAATATTAAGCAAATCAAGATACCTATTAAACTAGCATTGATCATGATGGCTACAAGTAAATTTAAAAGAGCAAAACAAATACAAAAATGCTCTAAGAGGGAAATGCAGAGTAAAGAAGAGAACAGCAATAAAGAGCAGGTAAATGTTAGATTACATGCCTCTATGGATCTGACATCAGAGGATATGAGAAAAATGCAGAATTACACATGATCCTTGTTAAGATATAAACATTAACATGAACCATAAACTTTCACATCCCATAAAAGCAAGATTTGTGGGCCACTACTGTCCTATTTACTTTTGAAAAATATTCTCCTAAATTCTAAATGAGCTACATTTTTTTAGATTGTTGGCCTTTTGTTATTGTTTTTTGTGGTTCTGGGGACCAAAATCAGGGTTTATGCATGGTAGGGAAGTACTCTGCCATTAAGCTACATCATCAGGGCCTAAAATATTGGCCTTTTGCACTAGGGCCCAGGAACCAAATTGGACTTAATTATATTTAAGGCTGTTAATCTTATCACATATACAACTAACACAAAACTCCTGACATGACCAAGTTTGTTGTTTTTTTAAAAAAATATTTATGTCTTAGAACAGATTTTGCACATTTCACTTTAAGAAAGAACCTCTTCAACTGAAAGATTAATACAAATTACACTGCTGCCCAAATGTAACTAAACTTTCTAGGTTAAGCAGCTTGAAAATTTAATCTACAAATAGTAACATTCAGATCACACCATCAGAGTTAAACACCTCATGTCTAGCAGATCTAGTGCCTGGTCTCAGAGGGGAAAGTGGCTTGGAAGATGAAAACCTGCACGCATACTAATCTAGATACTTGGGTTTAACAGCTATAGCTTACACATCTCACTGGAATTTACTGACTATTCTAACTCTCCACATTAATTACTGGTGGATAAAAAGATCACAGACAAGCATCTGAAGGCACTACTACTCTAAGCTAAATAAAGTTAATTAGACCACATCTATTTCCGCAATTTGCTAACAAAGTGCTACCAAAAAATGGCTTCACCTGACGTTATCCTCTGGCTCAGGTTCACTGTCACTGTCTTCTGCTTTTCGCTTAATTCCTCCTATCGGAGATGGGGAGCCATCAGATGTGAAACTTGTATTAGGAGATACTGAAGGACTCTGCAGACAATTGTGACATTACAGAACAAGGATTTCATTATTCATTTTACATAAGAAGGTACATCTAACTACCACTACCTTTAAGTGATTAAATAGATCGGGAAAATATATTTAGAAAGTACAGAGACTTATCTGACCCATTCCACTCCTCCTAAAAAAAATAATAGAGTACACTAAGCTTCCTATGCTTAAACTCAAAAGAATTAACATTAGAATAAAATATGTTTCAGAAGAAAAAAGAAAAACAATTTTATAGATTTCTTTWAAAAATAGGACTTGGATTTTGTTTTCCTTTGGTGGTTTCCTCATGTTATAAATTCAGTCACTTTCACTTTATCGAATAACAGAAGTTTKAGGGGAAAAAAAGTATGTTACATCTATAACATATATAACAATATTTAACAATAGTATATAACACCATGTAAAGTAGTCAATGCTGGCAAGAGTGTAGTTAAATAGTAAGGCAACAGTTTAATGAGACTCTGTTCCAATAATGATTAGATTGTTTCCTATGTACTGTTTTTGAATTCAGTGATAATAAAAATCTATTAATCATCTTAGAAAAAAATGCACATTAGTATTGCAATGAACTGAAAGCCACTTTAAATTTAATATCAGCTCCCCTTTGTACTAAATAAAATTAAGACAACAGGGCCCTAAAACATTTTGATATTTAATTTAAAAATTAGGAAAAAACCCGTAACTTATTTAAGTTAAATGATTAAATGACCAAAAACCTAAGTAGCAGAAAACATTTTCATAATAAAGCTTTCTATTATTCACAGCATATTAGATATCTTTAGTAAACTCAAATATCTTAAAATTAAGAGTCCATTAGGATATTTTAAAGATACCAGAACTAAAACATAAACATGAAGGCAGTTCACATCATAGGCAAAGGTTAAAAAAAAAAAAAAAGCAGTTATATTTCACACAGAGCTTAAAAAAAAAACTTTTCTTGTAAAAATGTATAATGTCAGTTTTATTCATGAAAATGTATAGACAATATTGTCAAAAGATAAAAGGCACACACAATTAAAGTTAATCCAGGAAGGCACTGTTGTACTTGGAAAATGAGATGTGTATTGAGTCAGACAGATTTGAGTCTGAAATACCAAGTTCACCCTTTATTGAATGCATGGCCTTAGGCAATTTAACATTTGTAAACCTCATTTTAAAAGGGGATGATAATGCTCTCATTACGGGTTATTGCAAGGATTAAATAAAACAATATATGTGGAAGATTATTAACTAGCATGCTGCTTGCCTGGTACATGTCTTTAACCATTTGGCAAATCATTACTACATTATTATTTTTTAAACCCTACACTAATACATTTGGATTAAATCATAAAAATGACATTGCTATTAACTGTCTAAATACAAAGTTGAACAAGAAGCAAACTTTTCCAAAAGGATTCTTTTCTTTTGGGGGGGTGCTTTTAGCCAGTTTTATTGCAATAATTATGAACAAAAGCTTAGCAAAAAGATTTGAAAACTTACAATTACAGAAAAGCTCATGAAAGTTGGAGCCAAGGAAGATATGGTTGCTGAAGAGATGAGCACCACTAAAAAGAAGCCAAATACTTTGTACAGTGACAACAGGAAAGATATGYTGAGTTCATGTTAAGAATTGGCCAGAACTCATTCATCTTAGACTCAAGCGCATAAAAGTAAAAGTTCATTTAAAAGACTTTGCTTTGAGAAGACAGTGCAAGGACATGAAGCTTGCCCGGGGCCACCTTGGAAGGTGTTGCTCCAGAATTCCTTTCACCATGTTCAGCTGAACATTCACATGCCTCTGCARCTATGGTACAATGGACCCCAGGTACTATTTCTACTGACAGCAGAACTTGAAATCCACGATCCTAGTACAAACTGATACTTAACTGGATATAAACTCCATCTTTATATAACAAAAAATAGCATATTTTCAAGAAAAGAAAATAAAGTTATCTACCATTTAATGCTGAATCTCTGTTGCTGTCCCTCTACCAATAAATGTATTCTTTTCTAAACATACCAAATACAAAATCATTCTAAAAATTTTCTTTTTAAAATAGTTTTTGCAATCAGACAAATTCTATTAAGATAGCCTCAGATATAATAAAACCAGAATTCAGAATGCAAAATTTAAAACCACAAATATGAGAAAACAGAAGCTATTTAATAAATTAACAATGTTGACCATCAACAGACCAAATATTTACCACCAACAGACCAACTCCTACAGCTAAGGGTAAATAAAGCAGCAAAAACTCCAAAACTTAAAGGCTCCTTTTAAATGAACTGATAATTTGGCTCATGATTTCCTTAAGTTAAGACCATAACCTAAGGTTATGAAAAGACTCTAAAAATTCCATATCTCCTCTATATAGGAATAATTATGTCAAGGGGGGTTAAGACAGGATCCCAATTACCATTTTCCCAGAATGGGGAAAATGGTAATTAGTCCTATGGAGCCCGAATATAGGAAGGAATCTTTCTCAAAGCAATCAGCTGGCAAAGTCTAAAGTTACCTGCCTCCCTTAAGAAATATTAAGAAAAAAGCATCCTTTCTAATAGGCATGTGAGAATACCAGTCACTCTCAGTTTTACTCTGTGGGGACTGTAATCTTGAATGACAGACATTAGCTTTTTATGTTCAACTCAGCTATCTCTTCATAACCACTTTTCCTGACCCTCCACATCCCACTGTTAATGGAACAAAAGAATAAAAATCAAATAGAACAACAAATACAACAGAAACTCAGGCTGCTTCTCTCAGAACAGGCAAAAATCTTACTTCTCAAATTCCAAATCTAAGCTCTTCTAAGTGTGAATTCACATGAATACAATTTGAATAAGTCCCTGATAYAGCAAAGTTCCACATAAAGTGACTCTACTTTGTGTACAACCAGAGACATGAAAAATTGTGCTCTATTTGTGCAATATGAATTGTAATGCATTCTGTTGTCATATATAACAAAATAAAAATTTTWWAAAAATTCCACATAAAAGTTGCCCTGTAAAGATACCTGAGAATCAGCACTTGTATCATAACAAAATCATGCATACAATACGGAATCTTCCATATTCTTTCTTCCCCTATTGTTGGTTCTTAGTTCATTCTGTTCCCTATCCCTACTGCTGCCACACACAGTGCTCTAAGCTTTGGTTACTGGCACTATAATAGGAAGCTGTCAGGAGAAAACAGCTTTTTGGGGTATGTTGATTTATTTCTGTGGTTTGGATTACAAAGTTCAAGCAAGGAGGGATGCCACGAGGCAAATTCATGCAGTTCTTAAAGTTTACATACAAGGAGTAACCGGAGTTTGGATAGTGAGTGCTACCTTAAAGTATTTATTCAGAACAATTCCATCCCTGAAATAGAGAGCAAAGGTTTAGGCAGTTGGAGTATCTGTTTTTGATAGCCTAAGAAATACTACATTGCCAAATGCCCATAATTGATCCCTAGGAGAAAATAGGAAAGGAAATATTGGAGCAAAACTTGCCCTCCTTTCTTGATCCATGTGTGAGGCATCTGGATGTCACAGTCATGCTTTTAGCACCATCCACTCCACAGTTCTTGGGTAGAGAAAAGCTACTGTGGACACTTAGCTATCTAAATTCACATGTATTGACTATCCCACATACTTCTCTTTCACATCATTTAGATATTCTCATATTGATAAAAATGAATTTAATAGTTAAAACTTCCTCAAGGCAAAAGAAATTGGGAGGAAAAATAAAACTATAAAACAAAACAATTCTAGGCCATGTAACAGAATTCACACACACACAACTAGCTGTAAGAGGAATCTCATGTTCATCACTTTAATGCCAAATAAAAGTAAGCCACTTACAGAATTATTCTGCATCCTCATTTCATAAGCTGCTTGTCTTGGATTACTGGCTACTTGAGAACCTGGTGAATTTCTTGAACCCAAGGCATGAGGGGTTAGAATTCCACTAGGAGTGAAAGCTGGTTGATCTCTCTTAACATAAACGGAAATAAATGTAGAAATGAAATTACAAAATCACAGGTGACAGGAAGAAAAGGACAACAGAAGCAATTCTCATGGTAACCACTTAACAATTAAAATGCACTAAAAGACTAAATAGATTTCCATTAACATACATTGCCTATACTTTGACTAGATGGGTTACTTATACTTTAAATAACAATTTGTAATACTTAACACATCTGTCACTGTCATGACACACAGAATTGACTAGTCTCATTGMGCCAATCTACTGTTTTGTTTACAATGTTAGAAAACATTCAAGACATGATTTCAGGCAAAGAAAATAATATAACAACAAAGTTCAAAAAGTAAAGTTCGAGTTATACTTAAGAAATATTAATTCACCTTGCTATAACTTAACTCTATTTTCAACTAATTAGAGCTATTACAGCTATAATGATAAAAAATACTGAAAGAAAATAACATCAAGTAGAAATCAAATGTCCTTCCCAATATTAATGATTTTGAAACTAAATATAATAATAAACTCAACTTTTCTCCCTTCGAGTTCCCTGAAATTGTTCAATTTTAATACAACATAATAATAAAAGGCAGTTCTGAAACACTACAATTTTGAAAATCCAGTTGAAAAGACAAGAAAAAGAAGAGCTAAAGAAGTTAAATGACTAAAAAACATTATGCAATTAAGTAAGAAAACAAGTATCACCGGGAGAAAGCAGCACAGATAAAAGAAAGGACTGTAGTACTAGGAGCAAAACTAACAAGTAAGGCCTTGAGGAAAACATAAGATGTGGTTAAAGGGATCCATTTGGAGGTACCAAATGATGATAACACTCTTTAGTCAGCAGATGCATGGTGTATTTAGAAGACAATAGGAAGTAAATGGAATGCCTACAACTGGATCAGATTATAGTGTTCTCTGAATGCCCAACTAAGAGCTGATTCTTAGGGATTGGGAGTCAGTGGTGATTTCCAAATAGGGAAACAACAAAGCTGAGTTAGAGCAGCATGTTCTTGGAAAATTTGCCTGACAAAGAGGTAGGAATAAAAAGAGTGTGTAGTGACTTTCAAAAGGATATACAGAGAATTGACTGTTTTTATTACAAAAACAATATCTGATTATTGTAAACAATTCTAATAGCCAAATATCACTTGCCTCCCTCCTGCCTGTCACATATATCCCCTGACTTATTGTATCCTCTGACTCCAGAACTTAGAAAAATTGACATGGGTATTTTTTTTCCAGGTAAAAAGGCAGCTGGTTGGACATTTATGTTTCTGACCAATTCCTAGTAGATATGGAAAAAAGTTACTGTAATGAACATTTTTCTCACAGTGTATAAACTTATGCTATTGCCAGCCTCATAAAATTAAAACTCACCTTCATTCTCTTTCTTTTTTCCTTCTGTCGTCTTCTAAAACTGTCCTAAAAGTATAAAATCCACATATTCTGTCAAATAATTACACAAAATGTCAGAGTTAAACATTACCAGGAATGATTCGGTAGACCATTTAAATTTTAAAGGAAGACCCAACAATCTAGGTATAAGATTAAACTAGGCAATGGACTATATGTTCAAAGTGTTATTTATCAGAACTTTAGATGAGCAGAAAGACTGAATTTAGGTCATTGTTTTTCTTAGTTTTCTTTAAATACTTTTGACATTTCAGGAAACTGCAAAAGCCATGACAAAGACCCTTGGTTTTACCTTAGATGTAACAGGTTGTCAATAAGGAGGAAACCATATAGCAAGAAAACAAAAATTCTTAAGTTTTAGCTGAGTGTAGTTAATAAATAATTGTTTAAAAAAAAAAACCCTACAAGACAATAAAGAGACAGTTACATTATTAAAGGCTTGGCAGTTTCTAAATCCATAGCATGAATGGCACAATACAGAAAAGAGAGAAATGGGACTCAATGCAAACACTAACACCYAGCTTCCAAAAAATCAATACAATGTAAGAAAGAGGGAAATTCAGATGTATACACTTTTACTTTGGGGCAATTGAATCCACAGAGAGGTCCAGTTCACAATGATTCTTTCCCTCCACTCATTTTTAAAGTGCAGCCATGATTTCAACTGGACAAGATTTGGGGTTAATCTTGCTTCCCACTAACTCTGGAAAAGTCAGTACAAAGGTCATACATGCCGACACTAAAGGTTCCCTGAGTATCAAAGGACTGAAACTACAGCTAAAGTGGGCATGGCTGCTGTTGTGGCCTAAAACAGGGACCTGCAGGTACTGTACTAATGGCTACCCTAACTTGTTGAAACTTCCAAGTCAGTCCTGTCAACTGCAATATAATACTTCAATGAGATGTGAAATCGGTGCTGTCAGGATAGGGGTAAACAGTGGACTTTAAAAAGTCTGCTTCTCTGAAATGGAGCCTAGGTAGGTGACTGACTACCTTAAAACCTCCTATGATGTGGAAACCACCAATATCTTTAATCAAGCGTCTGCCCCCATCTTCAATGAAACTTCTCTTATCTAGGTAACCAAGGATTCATTTGCAGATTGGGAAACCCATGAGTAAGTTTTCAGTCCTTAACTTACCATGACTCTTTCCTCTTTGAATCATACTCTTCCCTTGGCTTCCTGCACACTATACTCACTTGGTTTTCCTTCTCCTCTCTTGCTTTCTGCCTGTACTCAATGCCCCAACCTGTTGATGCTGGTGTTGCTCTGAGCCCAGTACTTGGACCTCTCCATGGCTCTACTCCCAAGAGGGTAATCACCTGTCTCCTGGCTTTAAATACCATCTATCTCCTGATAATTCTCCAATCAAAGGACCTCTCCCCACACAACATCTCATCGGGATATCTGAACACAGAATCCCTAGTCCCACCTCTGCACCTCCCATATACTTTCTCATGAGAATTGCTCAGTACATTTTTTAGCTGCTTGGGAAAAATGCTCTAGAGTCATTCTTAATACCACAACTTCTCTCACATCCTGCATTTAGTCCATTAGCAAATCCCTCTGGTTCTATTTTCAAAATATGTTCAGAATCCAACAACCCTTTTTCTCTACTATCATCATCTRGGTTCTCCTGGATAACTGGATGTGGGGAAAAAAGCCAATGCTGCACTCTTTCTACCTTTGTCTCCACACAGTTAGGAGTGATCCTTTTATAATGTGTCAGATCTTCTCAATTTGCTACTCAAAACTATCCAGTAATATACAATAAAATTTCAAATCCTTATAATGACCTCTAAGGTCCTACCAGATTTGGCCCTCCATCATCTTTCTAATCTCATCTGTATTACCCTCCATTTGCTTCCTCTGCTTCTTGCTATTCTGTTAATGTTCTGGGTGTGCACTTACTGCAGAGCCTTGGCACTAGCTATTCTGTTTGAAGTGCCATTCCTTCAAACAGCTGTGTGTCATACTCCCTCTTGAATATCCTCCAGGTTTTTATTCAAAGTCATCTGCCAGTGAGGCTTTCCCTGGGCAGCTTTTCTAGAATTGCAAYCTCCCCATTGCCACCTTCCCAGATTCTTCCTCACCTGCTTTACCTTCAAAGCATTTATCACTAACATATTACAAGGTTTATTTGGTTCCTGTGTTAACTGTCCATTTGCCAAAGAATAATGTAAGCTTCACAAGGGCAGGAATTTTTGTTTGTTTGTTGCTATATCATCACCATTCAGAACACTGGCAGATGGCTAACACTTAACAAATGTTTCTGAATAAATAAATAACCAACATTTTTAAGATAAAAGGCAACCATTAAAACTCATAATATCGGGGCTGGGATTGTGGCTCAGCGGTAGAGTGCTCGCCTAGCACGGGCAGGACCCAGGTTTGATTCTAAGCACCACATAAAAATAAAGGCATTGTGTTGTGTCCATCTACACTAAAAAATAAATAATTATTTTTTWAAAAAACTTATAATATAAAAAGCACTATATCTCTGACCTAACTGGTCTTTTTTGTTGGGACTGGGGACAGTACTTATGCATGTTAAAGAAATGCTATACTACTGAGCTATATCTTCAGCACCTTTATTTTAATTTGAGACAGGGTTTTGCTAAATTGTCCAGACTGGCCTTGAACTTGTGATCCATCTGCCTCAGTCTCTCAAACAGCTGGGATTATGGGAGTGTGCCACCAGGCTTGGCCTAACTGCTCAGTTTTAGTAACAAATATTGACACATTCCTTTTCTACCATCTGTTCTGCTGGTTTATTAAATATTTATTTCTAAGAGTGTCAGTTACACACAAACAGAACAGCAGACTACCAGTGTGGACCTTATTGATCTTTAATTTTTTTTTTTTGTATTAAGAGCTCCTTCAGAAACCAAGTCAAAAGCCACAGACCACTTCCCAGAAAAGCGCACACACTCACAAGCTCTCATACTGAATTTCTGAGGGTGTTAGAACCATGCTGAGGAACATCATATGACTTAAGGGACACCAAAAAAGAAGTTTTAAAACTTCCTGTCCTCTAAGTCAGTTGGAAACCATACTAACGAAATCTGAAACAGTACTGATATCCCATACTTCCCCTTCTAATGCCAAGTTATCATCAATATTTAATGGTACAGAAACTGCTAAAGCCACATAAAGCCAGCTGTGTGAGCCATTGCTCCTCCAACATGCAGTTTTTATACAAGTAGACCACAGTATGTACAGTTTCTGATAAGCATAAATGGCAACAGGTCAAATGAAAACACTGTAATTTTTTTTTAAAGAGAGAGAGAGAGAGAGAGAGAGAATGAATTTTTAATATTTATTTTTTAGTTCTCGGCGGACACAACATCTTTGTTGGTATGTGGTGCTGAGGATTGAACCCAGGCCGCACGCATGCCAGGCGAGCGCGCTACCGCTTGAGCCACATCCCCAGCCCCAAAACACTGTAATTTTTTGAAACTTAATTTTAAACAGTGGCTTCAGTGATATTTGATACTCCTAAAGCTACTTCTATACTTTGAATTTTATATGTGAAAATTCTTGCCATCACAGAAAATATATTGCCAAAGTATTCACAGCTTTTGACAAGAATGCTTACAGTCAACACAGTGTTACATAGAATGATGTTCAAAGTTCTAAAAATAAGAGGCCACTAAACTATAATATGCAAAGTTGAAGAAAACAAAAAAGCTTGTCAGAGCTAATGACATGTTTTAATCTGTTAGATCATGAAGCAATGGAACATTATTATGTTGTTATTTGCTAAAAATAGCCAYATGACTTCTTATAAAATCAGTCAGTGAAAAAATTTCCTTCACTGTGCTCATTTTGCCCACTATTGACTTTCTTTACTATCCCAGTAACTCTCTGACTCACTCTGCCTCCAGGATGCTGTCCTTCTACTTTACCAGCTCTCCAGGGCCTCCCAATCCCTGGCCATGGGCTTGTTGCCTGACCATTTCACTCTGACCCTTAGGCAACACCAATGGCTTCTCCTCTGGATTTCCTACCATCTCTCAAGAACTGATTCCTTTCTCCTTAAATGTCCATGCTTCTTGAGACTTTTGTTGGAGGCACTTTAAGCTCCCAAGAAATTTCCTACTAAAGACTCAAGTTCCTCCCATGAACTAAGAGTTCTCAAATCTCTTTTCAATACATTTTTCCTCTCAGAAATCTGTAGCCCCTCAAAAGCAAATATCTCAAAAATGAAATTCAATTCCCGCTTTGTCCCTGGACCCCTAGTGCTCACTATCTCAATGAGTGGCACAAGCAAACCCCTAACTCTCTAAGCATTTACCCATCCTATATACAATTTCAACTGCTTTGTTATTTTATTTCCTTCCTTTATGTTTAAATTTTTTACTTAAGAGCTGTATCCCTCCACAGATTCTAAAATTCTTCTAGCCCTCTGCCCTAGCTGATACAATCTAACCCAGACAGATCCCTACATTCTATTCCTAGAATACAAGTTATTAGGTCTTGACCTGTCTTAGAGAGCATAAGTATTCCCTACCCTATAAAACATGGCAGTCACTAGCTCAACACCAGCATTATTCAAGGCTTGGACTCCTAATTCCATGTTTTACTGTTTGGAGAGGCATTTGGATTCATATCCTAATTAAGATTATGAGGAGAGAAAAAAAAAATCAATATTTTACTCAAATGATGTGCGATACATAGTTCCACATAGCAAGCATCACAGTCTTTATTACATAATCAAAGCACTGATAGCTTATGATTACATTAGGGTTGTTGCATTATAATAATATAACAACGTGCTAAAAAATGTTAAAAGTACAATAACAGGATTATCACAACCTATTAGATACAGGAGCAATTTTAGCTACCACAATAGAAACACTTTACCTCATCATCCTTTCTCTTTTTAAAAATGCTATCCTCAACTTCACCAACTGCTAACATGATCATCTGTACTCTCTGCAGATTCACATAACCACTTTCTGTAAGGTAACCCTGTAAGTGATAAAATACATGTAAAAATGATCTTCTTAAAAAAGCAAATACTTCTATTTGAAATTATTCAAGAGTGAAACTTACCCCAGTTTTGTGTACCACGTTTTTGTATATGTTAACCAAACGGTCAATTGCACCTTCCCTGCCACCAGGAGACAAACATTATGCATTAGGACCAGCAGGCTATGTAAAGTAAGAGGACTAAAACAGTGGTTTGGGATTTAAAAACACACAAAAAACACTTACCTAATCTCTAAGGAAGGCAAATGAGGAAGGAAGTCGTTTCCCACAAAGAAGCACATAAAGACCCAATCATCAATGCTCCTCTCCACATCAAATGTGAATGGTAGGCTGGCCATGGTAAGTTCCCTTTCCAAATACTATAACCAAAAAGCAACGGCTGCCATTAAAGCTATCAAAAGGTTTTAGGAACTCCAGTTTCAATGACTACTGATACAAACCTCCCGAAGAACATTCAGCCGCAGGAAGATGAACTCTCCTTCAGCACATGGGAGACTATCTGCAAGCTCATCGTGCTATAAGAATGGGAGCAGAGAGTAAAAAAGTTTAATCCAAATTCTGCATTTTTTTCCCAGCCAAGGAAATTTTAAGGCTTTTTGAAAGCAAGATCATTTTAATATGACAGGTACAATTTTTTTCACCAATTATTTTAAAATAAAAATTACCCATAAACAATCTCACCTACACCAGAGGTCAGCAACTATTTTCTGTAAAGAACCAGAGCGTAAATATTCTAGCGTGGGGGTGAGGGACTCGTACAATCTCTGCTATGTACTCTTTCATGTTTTATTATAGTTTTACAACCCTTTAAAACTGTAAAAACCATTCTTAGCTCCTGGACCAAATCTGGATAACTGTAGTTTACCAATCCCTAATCTACATACAAACAATATTAATACTCTGATGTAAACACCTCTACTCCTTTCTCTGTGAAATGTGTGCCTAGATACACATATGCCACCTTTATTCTACTGCATCTCTGAAATCATACTGTATATATTTCTTATCTGCCTTTATTCACTTTTTCCCCCAAGCCATACTCTTAAACAGAAATCCAATTAAAGAGAACTGGCTATAAGCAAGTGCACCTAAAATACACAGAAACTGTGAATAATTTAGAAATATCAAGAAGTTTAATATATTTAATTTATAACTACTTTTAAAAGGAGTAATCATTTGAAACAAGAAACTTGTGGTTCAAAAGGCTAAGGCAGGAGGATTTCAAGTTCAAGGTCAGCCTCAGCAATTTAGCAAGACCCTTCTTAAAATAAGAAATAAAAAGGACYGGGGATTTGGCTCAGTAGTTAAGCACCCCTGGGTTCAATCCCTAGTACCAAAAATAAATAAAATAAAAGGCTTTAAAAGATACATTTCAGCGAGGAATAGCATTTTAAAAATGAGGCAGCTTGCATGCATTTAATGCTATTTAATATTACACTTAAATAGGCTTAAAATGGTCTATTCTGTATTATGTATTTTTACCAAAAAAAAAAAAAAATTAAATGAGGAAACCACCATATTAAAGTTCTTACCTTTCCCTTCTTTTCTCTTGGCAAACCTTCACAATCCTTGACCTCATGTCCAAACTGATTACAAAGACCACATGGTTTGGGTTTGTTTGGYTTGAATTCTTCTCTAATGATGGTAAAGTTGGGTTCATGTGTAGCAAGGCCAAGCATAATGAGATCAGCTTTYAATTAATGAGAAAAAAAAAGTATTGAACAGTGAACACTGAGAACATTCTTATAACTGAAATATTACAGGACACCAACATAAGGAAAATCTCTAATCAGTACAGACAGTCAACAAAGCCAAAAGTCTACAATTTTCTAGCAGTTACCAGTCAACAGGGCCTCCAGACATGTGGACTTACAACACAGACTACCACTCTGAATTAAATTCTTGGAGAATTTTTCATCAWAGAGGTATGTGTAGCTAACAATACCAAAAGGTTGAAGCTGCACATGTTGGTATACAYCTATAATCCTAGCTACTCAGGAGGATGGACAGAATGATGGCAASTTCAMCTGGGCAACTTAGTGAGACCCTGTCCTAAAATAAAATTTTAGAAATGACTGAGGATATAACTCTGTGGCACAGAGTTTGCCTAGCATTTGTGAAACATTGGGTTTAATCACTAGTACCAAAGGAAAAGAATGACAGGTGATCACTGATCACAGACTAAACAGCAACTCAATTGTTCTTCTGAATTTTAAAACAAGCAAGCATTTTCGACAATCTTAAATAAGCCATTACTACACACCAACTTATCAATTGCTATGACTTAATCCAACAAAAGCAAACCCTAAAGAAGAAACTTACCATCAGCTCCACATAAACAATGATGTGTGTTTGGGTCATGGTTAGGCTGGGCTAAAGAGAAGAGAAACACATATTTATATAAACATATTACAAACCACAAAATATTAACATCTTGCCAAATATTTTATAGTCAATAGCTTTTTTTCTTTTTCTGTTCCTTTTTTTTTTTTTTTTTGGCTATGTTAGGGATTGAACCCAGCACCTTGCACCCAATATGCAAATGCTCTCCCACTGCAGCCTGGCCCATCTTTTCTTCATAGAATATACAAATATTTATAAGTGAGTTTTACCTCTTTGTCGTCTAATGTAATCCATGATTTTATGTTCTCCTTCACCAGGAGCACTAGCATCAGATAAAATAACCTATAAAAAAGGAAGTTTTTAATAGGTCATTCTGTTTTCTACCACCAACAAAATCAGAACTAAGAAAAACTGAGATGATTACATTAAGACAGTAATTCTAGTTGGAAAATTTTGGAATAAGGTGCATATATTAAACACCATATATTATGTGCATATATTACTTAATTAACTTACTACATGGAATGGAAAAGTCTGAAATGTCTAGGTAAAACACAGCCTTAGGAAAACTGATAAGTTTACAAGTTCTTATTATTTTCACTACTATTAGAGGATAAAGCACCAAATCTTACAAACCCCAAGAACGATCAATAAAAGATACCAATTAAATACAGCTCACCATTTCTAATTCAAGGAAAACACATTTATGAACCTAAAATTACATAAAAGTTCATTTACAGGGCAAAAAAGTTCATTTACGTTTTAYTTATGAGAACAGTCATTTTTAAAAGGCAACTCCACAACTTATTTTGGCTATATTTTAGTATCTAACTACTGAATTTTCTACTTAAAAACTATATTTTTATACACATACATGTTATATACACACACACACTTTTTAAAAAAAAATTATATGAAACCCTTTTTATGGCTCCACAGTGATAGTAAGGGAACAAAATTGGCACTGAGAGAAAATTCAGCTATCTAAAACCTGACCATGCAAGGCACCCCATTTCCAATAACCTTGGATGCTTCTTTTCCCTGATAGTCAATGGGCATTTTATGGAGGGAAAAAGTATAAATAATATGAGTCATATCAAAGTGCAATCTCAATGATCACTCTCATCTTTTTGAAGTACCAAAATGTGAAACTTACTGTCAAATTTTTCCACCCTGGGTCATTATTTAAACGATCAGCTATGTAATAGCGAAGGCATTTAGCAAGATTGTCCATGAACTCAGTTCCCTAAAATGATAGAAGGAAATAAATTAACCTATCATTTAAGAGTTAGCAATAGCTAGCAAAATATAATACTACTTACTGGTGTAATACAGTTGCTGTCAAATCTTTCTTTTAYTTCTTCTGGAGGAAGAAAGCCACCTAGAGAAAAGAGGCAATGTTTTGTTTTTCCCATAAAAAAGTGAAATAAATTAATCAATATTAAGGCAGAACAACAAGAAAAAGTTCAAATACAAAAGAAAAAGAACCATTATTATCTAAGGAAAATTTTCCTCTTAGGGGGAAGAAAATAAGATTCCTCCCCTGAAATTTAAATTAAGCTTTTCAAAAAACTGTAGAACAACATATGCTATACAAGATATACTATATTGTTACTTAAAACATAAAAATTATGAAGCTCTTATACACACACACACCCCTGATTAGGGTTTTAATTTTGATAACAGTTCTTAAGATGATATAGAAAAATAAAACTAAAAATTTGAGTTTATCAGAGCTTTGTGTAAGAAATAAAATTATGAGCTAACAGGATATGAAAATCCAATTTTTTCCTCTGTATCTCTGATTAGCTGCTTCTTAAGAAATAATATATCCTATAGCATCTTCAAGAAAGAAAACATCTTTAAAATGAAAAACATTCTATCATGAATATAAACAGGTTTTTAAATCTTAATTACAAGCTGTGGTTAAGGTAACTATATTTGCACACTTCCAACAAATTAACGTAAAATGTATTATAACTGCAGGCCTATGACATCATTTTTCCAACTGTAAAGTATAATTGTCTTGAGTAAATAAATTGTGGCTTTCCTGATCTGTTATCATTGTCTTATATATCAGACACCAAACAAATCACCCTGCTAAAATCACTAACCATTCCTCACCTCACCCACAGGCCGGCAGGTTAGGAGAGAACCAATTAGCATCAACTGCTTCTGACCGTCTTCCTCATTGACACTTAGTCAGCATCTATCTCTGTACCCACCAGGAATTTCAAGGCTTTGTGGAACACCAGTAAAAAAATCCAACATCAAAATATAAATTTTCTACCTTTGGCCAATATTTCTTCCCTGACTCGCTGCTTCTCAACTGCTGCTTCCATTCCTTCTTTTGATGCTCTGAACCTCCTTGAACGCTGCTGGTTCATTTTAGCACGTGGTGCCTGAAAACATTCATTTCATATTCACATAATACTGTTCACAAGTAGATCTGTATATTATTTTCAATCAATCATTCTTATAAAAAGAGCACACTAAAATGGAAGGTAAGTACCAAGTCTAATAATCTTTTCATGATAAGAGAGCAGATCCTGAAAACTTAAATTTGGACCAAGAATCTCAAAGCAGAGCTTTATCAGATGAGTGAGTGATCGACAAATGAACAAACATTCTATAAAACCACATAGTTCATATTGCAAAGGGTCACAGCCTAATGCTAATTCTCCTGGGTTAGGGTGCTTCAAGGTAGACAAGACCTAGCCAGAATTAAGAGAGTACTTACTACAGGGTCAGGGAGACCTTTCCTATGTCCAAGACTTAAAAGGAAAGACAATCTCCAAATCAGATTCACAATGTCCCAAAGAGCAATAGAGAACTTTTTTCTGACCTGCAGGACCTCAATGTACTTCTATTTTGTATTTCCCACATTAAGGTTCATAATTCCTTTTCAATACAGCAAGACAGTTAGAAAGGGAGCAATGTTTTAACCCAAAGTACTTTWAAATCATTCTAACCAAATGTAACTTAAATCACAGAAAAAGCCTAAGTGAAGTGAAATGGACTGTGAAGTTTTTTGAAGTTACTGAGATGAGTTTTGAAGTTGGAAGAACTCTGCAATATTTTGACAACATCTAAGTTTTATAATATTCCTTTAAAAAGTTCTTTCTGTAAAATGAGACTACCTAATATAGTCCTCTCATATAACAAATTCTATGATYTAAATGTACACTTCAACAAAAAAATGCATGTATACATGCACATATATACATACACATAAATATGCACATATTTTATACTTGACTTAGCAAGAGCATACTGGAGTAAAATTAAAGACTTTCTTCAAGAAGTCTAGCTGAATGTGAATTGGAATATGCTCTTAACAAGATGTATTCCTGTTCTTTTTTCTCCTTACTCCATTGTAACTACAAGATAAAAAGAAGCTAAGAGTTTTCACTGAGTAAAAAGATCCATAGTAATGTTAATTTTCTTGGAGTCAAGTTCCCTGGATTTTCAAAATCATTCTATTAATCACCAGGATGTACTAAATCTAAAAGAAAATTTAACTGCCTATAGCTAATAAATTTAGGGTTATGATTTACCCTAATTTTCTTATATCTTAATGTATAATTTAGTGGTCATTTATAACCTAACCTACTTGGTATAATTACCATAAAGTCAGTAAGATACTCTGCTCTTAAATTACTGAGATTACTGTTCACTGTCCAAACTCCTGAGAGTGGCATGTGAGGCTGTCTTTAATTATTGCTCTACTTCCCTTCTCAATCCAAATTACTTGTAGTTATCCAAATGTATCAGTGTAGTCAAAGGCATGGAAAGTGTGTTAACCCAGCAGCACATTTAAGAATCTGGAAGGTCATCCCTCCTTTCCACAACTCCCACTCATTCCTCAACACAATGTCTACCAATCTCCAATATTCTTCATCCTTAAAGAAATGGGATAAAAGTCGTCTTCTTTATCTCCTAATTTCTATAGCAGCCCTGGCTTCCTCAACACCTTACATGTATTATTGAGTACCTGTAACTAAACTCACTCATGGATCTATGTCTCCTTCCTTTTAATGGAAAGTCCTTCAAAAAGAAGGGCATTCACCAATATCCCCCACAGTACCTGGCACAAAATAAGTACTAAAAAATGCCTGAATGAATGACTAAAGCAATAGGCTCTATCAACATGTTTCACTGTTTGGCTGACTTTCATTTTACGCACTGGAAACACAATAAAAATAAAAGGAGGCTTCTAAATTAATTATTTTAGCACTCACCACTCCATCTATTGCCATGTAGAGAAGTCGTCTTGGTCTTACAATATTGAAAAGTCTGTCAATGTACTCAAAAATTGCAACCATCATCTCATCTTCATTTTTTGGTGCTGGTCTATAATGATAAGCAAACAATGTAATATAATGTAGTACTTCCTTTGTGACTTGTGATACCAGTGACAAAAATGAATTACGTACTTGTCTTCAGGATGAGTACAGGGATGGATGATTCCATTCATATCCAAATACAGATTATCAAACTCCACATCATTTGGATTAGGTTTACTGGCATCAACTGGAATCTTGACACCATTGCATTCTTTTGGCTATGAGGAAGTGATAATTAATAGTAGTTTGTTCAGGTCTAAAAATGACAGATCCTAGGCTCAATATGAACCTGTTTCATTTCTGAACTGGAAATAAAACACTTCAAGTAATAAATTATAAGATATTGTCTTATTTTATTCCTTAAGACAAACTGAGGCAGAAAACTCATCCATTGAAAGTACAGGGCTTATAACAAGTTAATTTTGACAAATGTGGGAGATTTTAATCAAAATTCTCAAATCACTCAAATTGTTCTAAGTGAGAGATCAAGGGATTCATCTTAGAATTAATTTCACCCACATTAATAAGTCCTGTCAATTTTACCTAAAAAATGCCTTTCCATTTCATCTTCTTTTATTCCTACTACCAGGAACATTAGGTTATCATATCCTACCTAAAAGGTCACAACAACCTTCCTATGGATTGCCTCCCCAGGAGACTCTAATTTCCAGCCCACCTGCTGTACTGAGTCCTCCTTTTAAAACATAAATTTGCCTGTCTTAATCTTGTCTAATTTTCCARTGATTCCCAAAGCAGGAGCTAATCAATAAGCCTGATCTAGTCTCCTGTCCTACTGCCAAAATGTTGAGGTACACTTGATCTCTCAAAAAGTTCCTAGGAAATGCTTTTCCATCTCTCAATGCCCTTTCCTAATACATCTCCTTTCCGAAAGGCTTCTTCCTCTCTACCAGCACTCACTTCCTGAAATCTTACTAATTTTCCAAGGTCTAGACTCAGATCAAATGTCACTTACTTTATAACACCTGTACACTATCTGTGAAGAAATTAACTGCATTTCTTCTCCAAGATTTCCTTAGAATTGTGCTTACTCTCTGTAAGCACAATAGTTGTACAATTAACCTTTTATTCTAACCTAACTACACTGTGATTTCTTCAAAAGGGAAGGCCTACCCACTGTTCAACTGTATTTTTATAAATGGTATTATCTTTGTATTTTCCTACCAGAGTTCCAACAAAAGATTAACAACATGAGATCCAGTTTTTACTGTTATTAATAGAAAGTCGTTCAAAAAATAACAGTTCTTTAAACACATACAAAGCAATCTGGCAAAAATATACTGTAGACAATTTAAAAGCCCTTCATGTACATGCTACATTATAGATAAACCTCAAAACATTATGTGAAATCAAAGAAATCAATCACAAAAGACTACATATTGTATTGATCCTAATTATATGACAGTATAGACAAATCTATAGACAGAATGTAGATTCATGCTGTTTCAAGGTTAGGGTGAAAGAAACGTGAGGGAGATGGGAAGTTACTTCTAACAAACACAACACTGCTTTAGTTGTGATCAAAGTGTTTATAATTAGATAACTGTACTACTCTATCAAGTGCATTTCATGATACATAAATTAAATCTTAATAAAGCTATTTTTAGAAAAATAAAAAAACAAAAGTCAGCTTAATTAGGGGAGAAAAGCCTATCAAAAGAGAATAATAGGGCTGGGTATGGTGGTGCACGCCAATTCCAGCAATTCAGGAGGCTGAGGCAGGAAGAGCATAACTTAAAAGCCAGCCTYAGCAATTTATTAAGGCCCTTAGGAATTTAGCAAGACCCTGTCTCAAAATAAAAAATAAAGAAGTAGTTATGCACCCCTGGGTTCAATCCTTGATATCAAACATAAACAAATAAATAAAGACATCAAAAATAATAAGCTAATATGTTCATATACTGGATTGCCAGACAAAAGTGATATTCTAAAAAAAGTGTGAATGGTCATAAATATACTGTTGAGCCAAAAAAGCAAGTCACAGGAGACTACATACTGTATACCATTTACACAAAGTTATGAAATAATATTAGATACTATTCAGGGATGAATACAGAGAAAAGCAAATGAAGTTTAAAAAATGAATTTCAGGAGAGTGAAATCTCTTTGAAAAGGAGGAAGGACATGAGATAGAACCTCAATTTGTATTATAATCAGAAGAAAGGATATGGACAGGAATTTAAGGACCAGATCAGAGAAGAAGCTGTTAGCATTTGATACATAAAGGGCTTGATGAGAAACTGTGTGTGTGTACACACGCACATGGGAGGTAGTAAGTGGCGAGGAAAGCAGGAAGACAATTATTGGCAGCCCATGCAAAAATAAATAAATAAATAAATAAAACACCAAACAACCAAGTTCTGGTTCAGTCAAGAGGCTATCTACCTTTCTATCTAACCCCTACATCTCAGAGTTCACATCTTCCTTTCTCCTGTAACAAGCAGCTACCACAATCAGGAAAACCAATACTCATCTTTTGAGCCTCACAAAGTAAGCATTTTATTCTGGGCCATATGATCTCAGATGCAAACTCTAATCTCTAATTTTGTATTGTGAAAGTAGCCAAAACAAGATATATATGAATGTGTGGCTGTGTTCCAATAAAACTTTTAGTCACAAAACAGGTCACTGGCAGGCTAATTCCTACCCTAGTGCTTACACAGCACTAGGTATTATAGCTCTTCAATGAATACTGAATGTAGCTGCACAAGAATTTCTATCTCCACTACCCAGAAAAAAAACACAGTATTGGGAAAGTGGCATGTAAGGATGCCAATCTTGAGAAAAGAAGCCCAATAAGAAAACTGAATATATTTTCCCCTCAAGAGAACTGCAAACACATTCAACACATACTACATAAATTTGGAACTCCTTTTTTCAAGAGATTTTGATGTCAACAGAGGAACAGACTCCTCAAAAACTTTGTCAAATACAGTATCAGCATGTTTCCTGTTGGGTTAAAAAGAGATCCTTAATCAAAGGGCATCTAAAATAAGAGTCACTCTGAATCTTAAAACCAATTAATTTCATATACTAACTTTTCATTATCTTTTGGGGCCTTCAGATGACACACTGAGAACACACTGCATTTTACCCAAGACCATATGAAAAGTTGAACAAAGTAATTGCATACCTATGGTGGAAAACCTGAGGCAGAACCTTCTGTGGACAAGAAAGCACAAGAGATGCCTGAAGTATGRGAAATTAGCAGCCTGACTGAAGACAGAGTACAATACCTACAACATGGAAGAGGAGAGATGCTGCTGATGGTGGGAGAAAACAAGAGGGATCCAGGCCCAGAGAGGGAGCTCAAGGGACAGCTTCTGGAAGACCCATCAGAATAGAACCAGTTGGGAGGGTCAACCCCTGCCCTCTCCTCTCCTTCCCATCATGTCCCACTGTCTAAGACAACTTGAGACATGCATTCCCAGAGAATATGGAAGCTTGGGTCAGAAGGAAGGGCAATGCCTGACTGACAAACAATTCCATGAAGAAACAGGGAGCATCCCTATCCAGAATGGCTGGGAGTCAAGTTAGCTCTGCCTTAGGAAGAAGCTGACTCCTCCTCTACTTCATGGAAAAAGGAAAAGACACATGTGTCCTAAACCAAAAGTTCAGATATCAATGTATCTATGCACAAACATTCCAAGAAATTAAAATAAAGAAAGATAATACATATACATAAATAATGATGTCTGTACAGTAATTTTCCCCCTTATGCACAGGGAGTATGTTCTAAGCTCTCCAATGGATGCCTGAAAGTGTGGATATACTGTGTTTCATTATTATAGGTCCAAATAACTTCAGAACACATTTTTTTCTTTCCTTATTGAGAACTTTCACCTTGGGTTAAAAACAGCATTTTATAGTTAGTTATTCTCTGGCATGTCAAAATTGCTTGCATCACAATTCTTGTACTCTGGGGCCATTATTAAGTAAACTAAGGGTTACCTGAACAGTGGCAGTGCAATGTGGGATGTATTCTCACACAGCAGCCCCCCACCATTCAGTTTCACTTTTCTAAGTTTCAGTTACCTGTGGTCAAGTTTGGTTCCAAAATGTTTAATAGACAATTCAAGAAACAAGCAATTTAAAAAAACTGCAATAATGCTGCAGTAACATATCAATGAGATAAYTGATATAATTATTGAGTGACCAACAGGCAGGTAGCATGTACAGAGKAAATACACTAGACAAAGGATGACTTACATTCCAGACTGGATAGTGCAGGACTGTGCAAGATTTCATCACACTACTAAGAATACCACACAATATACAAATTATGAAATTTATTTCCAGAAATTTTCATTAACATTTTAGAACCAGAGCTGACAGCAGGTAACTGAAATCTTGAAAAGGAAAATTGCAAATAAGGAGGACTACTGTATAAAAATACATTTCACAGTTTTTGAAGTAAACCACTAAAATCAATTTCATAAACTCACTGTTACAATCAACTTTATAAACAGAAACTACTGCCAGTAACAGCTGAATAGATGCATTTTTTGTTTAGGCCTACATGGGATTTAACAACATCAGAAAAATCATGAATCATGTTTAAGGTTCCAGAGTAATGAGTGTGTCCCACTGATGAGAGTCACATGCCAAACTCTATGACTCATTTTAGATTCCTTTAAAGCAGCTAGAAACTATAGGAAAGAAATAAGATGTGGGTTGTATTTGGGGAGAAATATACAAATGGCTAATGAAAGTTTCAAATTTTATTATTTTGTCTTAGAAAACAAGACTAAAAATTGATGTGTGTGTGTACACGTGTGTGTTTAATTTTGATTTGCTGTACTAGGAATATAGCCTCACACATGCTAGGCAAGCACTCTCCCCACTAAACTTTATCTTCAGTCCTACACTATATGTTTTAATTTAATTGCCAAATAGGGCACTGAAAGTGAAATGAAAATATTTTTCAGATATTTTTCAGATAAGAGAGAGAAAATATGTTGCCAACAGACTCAACTTCCAAGAAATCCTAAAGGAAATTCTTCAGGCTGAAAGGAAGTGACCCATATTATAATTCAAATTCAAAGAACTCTAGTAATTTTACACATTTTTTCCTCTTTACTTCTCTGAACTAAAAAGAAACTATATAAAATATTATACAATATATTGTTAGGTTTACTAATAAAACGTAATCTATGTGTAATGTGTTCGCCAATAACAGTACAAAAGGAGGTGGAAGGAA